CTGGTTGCACTGGTAATGGTACAATCAGTAAAATCAGGGCCTCTCCCTAAACTGCTCATGAATGAATGAAAGGTCTTATCTAAAAACTCCAGCTTGACAAAAGTTTGATAAAGTTCTGTATTGGTGGGGTTTAGAGAGAAAAGTGTACTCTCAAACATGCTAGTGAAGAAATGCAAATTGTACAATCTCTGCATAATTTAGCAACTACCATTAAAATAAATATATTCCCTGTAACCCACTTCCAGGAATTCATCCTGTATGAAAATTCTCTTATATATTCACACACAAAAAAATAGTCATTGTAGTATTCTTTATACTAGCAAAAAAACAAAAGTAATTTGTGTCCATGTACAGAGAACCAGTGAAATAAATTATGGTATATACATATAATGGAATTTTAAGCTGATATGAAAAATGAATAAGATAGAATTATATCTACTGATATGGAATGATCTCCAAGATATTACAAGTAAGTGAAAAAAGTCAGCTGCTAGCTGGTCTTATGTAAATAAACAAAAATAGCAGAGGAAAAGGATGCAAGCAAATACATGATTTTATTTGAAAAGGCCACCATCTCAGAAGAAAATGGTTAACAATGCTTCAATGAGGGGAAGAACTAAGAAATTTCAAGGGTTGGAGGGAAGAAGACTTGCTTTTCATTCTTTTATGTTCTTTCAGTTCTACCTACGAGTGCAGACTACCCACTGAAATTGTTTAAATAAGATGGTCAAAAGTAAACATCTTAAAATTAGTTTCCATGAAGAATGCTTTTTAAAACTCACTGGCATGCTGTGCATTACTGTTTTCGTATCAGAGAAATGGGTGGGGGTACCCATCTACATAATCACTTGTAGAAGAACAGAACCATCCCTGATGAGAATTGGGTGGCTGGGGACTCCAGTAGGAGACTAAACTCCTGTATGTTTTTTGTATTTTTTGATTTAAAAAATCATTAATACATATAATTTTATTATATGCAATATACATAATAAAAATTAAGATTGCTTTTAAAATTTACTTGAAGTGAGAGGAAATGGAGAGGAAAAGGTATCTTTAGGAAGTGGGAACTGCATGCTTAGTAGGGTCAGACAGCCCTAATTTCAGACCCAGACGCTTCCAATAGCTGTATGATGTTGGGAAACTTGCTGAGTCTCTGTAAAATCCACATGGGGATGTGGGGATGTGAGGATTACATGGAAAATAGTGGATATAAAGCACATTTCCTTCCATAGCACATATTAGGAGGTCAGTCATTTGTAGTTATTATTATCATACAGCAGAGGAAATCCTTCCAATTCCAAAACTGTTTCAAGGGTTCTGAAGAAGCAGTACAGAGCAAGAAGCCTGCCCTTGGTTCACTGTTGCTCCTTGGGTTGTGTAACAGCCCCCATAACATGGCATTGGCATTGACCTCACTGACCTAGATCAGTGGGAAGCCCATGAGTTGCCCCCAAATAGCCCAAGGTGGCACGGTGCCACTTTACAACCCCAATTGATTAAATGTTGATGTTTTGTGATTTCTCACAAGAGCTATGTCAAATGAAGAGATTATAAAAGTTATAATGAATAACAATAAGGATTTGTAAAATCCACACAGCATCTAGCACTTCATCTTTTTTGTCTTTAAACATTGTTAATACTAATCTATTACGAATCTACTGGTATGTTATAAGGTACCAGCTATGACCAAATATAATTTCATTTGCTTCTTTATCTAGGTCATATTATTTGGAATGCTTAGCAGATATCTTACTATTCTAATGGCAAGCAGATGTGTCAACCTGACTGCTCATATGTCTATTGGTAGAAAACTCCTCACTCCAAATATGTATCCTTTATCTCAGTGGTGCTTGCATGAGTATTATATTTTTTGGAACTTTGATAAACAGAGTATGGTATTTAACACTCCTTATATATACACATATACACCAAAAATTGTATTGAAATTTGCTTTTCACAATTGCTAATGGCATATGTTTTGCAGCATCAAATAAAATAATTCTAAATACATGCATCTTTGTATCATTCTTAAGAGATGATAATCTCCTGAATGTTTCCTAGCTTTCATTATGACAGTTGTAATTTTTTTCAACTCTGAACTTGATTAAGCCTGAGACAGAGGACAAGATCAGTAACATTTTGTAATGGCTGCTGTGTGATTCCATAACCTGAATCCTGATAGAGTTGAAAAAAGGAGTGAGGCTGCAGCAGGACTAGACTTCTGGTACAGCATTAAGGAATGGAAGAACAGCGACCCTGTGAGGCAAAACCAAGTATTGCACTTGGCTACGCAGGAAATTCTTGATGCTTGCAAACTACAAAGGATTTCTGAAAAGGCACTTATTTTTAAATATCTGGATTCAGAGTCAACCACTGAGCATCTACTGGGGGCTACACAAGTTTACATACATGTTACTTCAATACCTTTCACTTTTAGGTTGACACAGAGTATGCTGACTGGGGGTGGGGGTAGAAACTGCAAGCATGGATTACTTTTACATATAAATACCCTTGATAATTGACATACAGACAATAACCTTAATTGTTGTGCTTTTGTTGTTTTTTTTAATCTGACTAGCTATCAATCACATTAATGTAGGCTGAACAAAGACTTCAGAGAAAATGTTAGGCTACAGAAGAGAAATATTAATGCAAAAAAAACCCCTCAGATATTTTATATTTCATGGTTTCCGCTGGGTCAGTATTTTTGTTTTAATGTATGTTCTACCAGTTTTCCTAATTATGAAGAATGGGAGAAAACAAACTTCCATAGTACAAGTACTGCCTCTAAGGAAACAACGTCATTGTTACTGTGGTTGGGTAGTCCTCTGACATGTTTTCTTAAGACGCTGAATACCTTTCCTTTCTCAACAGTCCATCCTTCCAGCAATTCAATACTTTAGGACTAATGATCTTAGTGCCCTGCTACATTTCTTGCTGATTAAAATTTATGAAGGGCTTAAGTGTACACTTTCATCTGCATTAACATGTGATTAGTCCTGATACATCAGATGTACTGTGAAGTTCTTTTCATTTGAAGTTCATTTCAATGGCTTATTAAAGCAGTGTGCCCAGTGATACATCAAGAGAACAAGCTGACCTGAATTTATGAAATGAATGATCTGTTTTCTAATATTTGTCTAAGTTACTTGAAGTAAAAAGATCTAAGCATGGCATTCCAGTATTTCTTCAAGCTGTTTTCTTTGTGCTATCAGCTTGAAGACTCCTCTGCACTCCAGCATTGTTCTTTGTGGAAGAATACAATCACAGCATCTTAAGCCTTCCTGCAGGCTAGGGGTGTGGTCCTCTTTACCCTTGCTAAACTGTTTCATTTTCTCATGAACTCTGAACTAGTGGAACAAATACTTTGCTATTTTTCAGCCCAGACAGTATCTAATTTCTACATGCATGGGAGATGTTAAAGATAGTATTGCTGAGAATATCTATTTAACTTGCTGTATAATACTATACTTTTAAGTGTTAAAAGTGTCTTTGATATTTATTACAACAGTAGCACATGTTTTATAGTCCGGGGTTCGATAGTAAATACATTCTCCAGCTTAGTGGGTCACACAGTCTGTTGTAACCACTCAACTCTGCCTTTACAGAAAAAAAGTAGCCATAAATGAATAAGCATGGCTGTGTTCCAATGAAACTTAGTTTATGGTGACTGAAATGTGAATTTCATAAAATTTTCACATCACAAAATATTATTCTTTATTTTTAAAAAGTGATTGAGAAATGAAATACTCATTCTTAGCTAACAGGCCATACAAAAACAGAAAGCAGGTTGGACTTGGCCCATAGATAGCTCACCTCTGCATTATCACATTGGGTTAGTGGGGGTTTCCTAAATAATCAGATACATGGTAATTATGCTGTCAAACAGTGGGAGTTTACTCACTAGCCTTGTCGCCCACCCTGCTATCAATCACTTTCTGCCACACTGGTGGCACTGAGAGTAAGGGGGCTTTATTCCATTGTTCAGGTTAAGAGCAGCCCCTGTATGCCTAAACTCCAGATGAATCAACCTAAGAACTGCTATCAACTACAAGGATATACTACTGATCTTGAGGGTTTGAGTTGGAGTGCTGTCACAGACTTAGGTGTTTTCAAAGATCAAGGTGCTTGCAGTGTCCCCAAGAAGCGAAGCAACAGGTTGTTGCAATAATCCAGGGAAGGGACAATGGAGATCTCAACTGTGCTGGCAGAACAGAGGACTAAGACATATCTAAGATGTAGTTATGATCAGGTACTCACTTGGATGAGAACTGATTACATTGTTCTTACCTGTCTCACAGCATAAAAGAGATGGATGACAATTTAAAAGTGTAATTTTTATGCGATTGAAAATTTTTTTAAAATTTAAAAAATAAATAGCCCTGCCTGTGTTGCTCAGTTGGTAGGGGGTCGTCGTGCAAAGCAAAAGATGGCCAGTTCGATCCCTAGTCAGGGCAATAATGATGATGATGATGATAATGATGATGATAAAGTATTAACGTGCTACCTAAATTTGTCAGTCTTCATTTAATTACTTATAACCACTTTAGAAATTACAGAATACTATCGGTTTCCCTGATTTATTGATTCCCCTACCCCAAAGTGGAGTACATTTTCATTACTTCAACATAAGTTAGTTGAAATACATTTAATTAAAAAAAAAATACCCATCTGCCTTCACCACACTCCCAAACCGGCAATCACCACGTGAAGACACTTTCAATTTCCAGAAATTTACTTTGCTCTAGCGGGTCCCACGACAGGCCCCACTTTCGCCCAGCAACCCTCTCGGACCAGCCCCAACAGTTTCCCCTTCCCTCTGTCGCTAGTGCCGCCACTGTGACTCCAGCTCCACGGGCCAATTCCTTCCTTCCTTTTGTCGCTTTTCCTTCGCCCCGCCCTGATGGCTGTCTTCGATTGGCTGACACTACAATGCCGCGGCAGGATGCCCCAGAACCCAGTTATGATTGGCTGTAAAATAGGCGGACCTCTTCTGATTGGCTGAAAAGAGAAGGCAGCAAGTCTGGTTGCGCACCGGGTGTGTGGGCCCCCGCTTTGTTGCCTGAGTGGGGTGGCGGTAGAAGTTAGGGGGGTCAGAGGCTACAGCTGGTCTGGACCCACAGTCGCTGTCCTTGCCGTCACGTTTCCCGGTAGCCTTCAGCGTAGGAACCGCGCCCACAAGCAGCCATGAGCGGCGGCGTGTACGGAGGAGGTGAGTGAGCGCGAAATTCAGTGTGGGGTTTGCAACCCCCGCCACAGTCGTCTTCACTCCTCCCCTCGGTGGCGGTCCCTTCCGGTCTCCCCGCGTCTGGACTCCCTACTCCCCGCCCCATCCCCGCCCAGCGCCTCTGGCTCTCGGAGTCTCCGCTGTCTGCGGCCCCTTCCAGCCTCTGTCCCCGGAGGAGCGGACGGGCTTCGCGGCAGGGACTGAACCTGGATCCATCGAGGCAGGGAGTGAAGCTCCAACCAGGGGTCGGCCCGCCGAGCCCCCGCCGGAATGCCCAGCCCATGGTCGCCTCTCTCCAGTGTCTCCATACCTCGGCTGATCGGGGTGTGCGCGCGAGTTTAAACTTGGGAGTGCCCTGCGGTTTGCGAGCGTGGACGCGGGATTTCCGCAGCATCGGGTAGATGGCTCAGCGAGCGCGGGAGGTGGGTGGGATGGCCAGCGTGGCGGCCACTCAGGACCCGCACTCCCCTCCGCCCTCAGCGCTCGCGCAGCCGCGCACCCTTCAGCAGCTCCTGCCTGTTGGTGGACCGTGGATTCTCCAAGTTACTCTTGCGTGGCAATGCTCGGGATTGATTTCGGAACGCCTGTGATTTACGGACGCTTTGCTTGGCTAGGCTGTGGTATGGAGGAAAGAAACTGGAGCCAGCGAGTTCCAGGGACCTGAGCAGTAACAGCAGCCTCACCGTTCCTGGGGCGCTTTGGCCTTGGGCGGGTGACTTCACTTTAACCAGCTTCAGGCTCCAGAGTTGTGAAGTGGTAGTTCCTAGTGTGGGGGTTCAGAAGCAGACTCCCGAAGACGTGGCTCAGTAGTATGCGGCTTATTTCGAGCTAATGTCAGTTTTAGCTTCAGGCTCAAGAGAAACTTGTTCCCCCTCCCTTTAACTACCCAGAAGAACTGGAATTAGGGACCTTGGCCATAACAAGAGACTATCAGCAATCATCTTTTTTTGACCCACCTTTTTGGCACAGCGAACTTTTTTTTTTTTTCAGGAGAGGTGACCAAAAGAAACCCAGAATTATCTTCTGGAGGGTGGGCCCTTGTGCTATGGGACCCCCACCACCACCACCACCCTCAATCATTATCAGTATACCAGCTGGCGTTGTTGTGAGAGGCTGCATTTGGCTTCAGTGACTTTTTTTTTTTTTTTGACTCACCGCATTTGCCCATTTCATGATGGGTGATTTGGGAGAGCACCTGCCCACACCACGCTGGGTGTTCAGTTTTTGACCAAAAACAGCATGACGCCTGTGTCCCACCCTCCCTATTCACCTGATCTGGCCTTAAAAGACTTTTTGTGTCTTTCCCCCCATGAAAAAAGTCCCCAAAGGGAAACGTTTTGCCTCGTGGAAGAGGTGAAACAAAAAACAGCACAAACACTTCAAGGCATCAAAATCAACAAGTTCAAAATTGTTTTGAGCAGTAGAAAAAAGTCACCATTAGGTGTAGTACATCAAATGGAGGGTACTTGGAAGGTGACTGAAGTTTAAACATGTAAGAATAAATATACATTTTTTAAAAATTCTCAGTTTTTAGGGTTCTCCCTCATACTAAACACCTGCTCTTGCTATCATCCTGCAGTGACCCTTCCAAGTCCCCGAGGTGCATTATCTCAGCCCTAGCTCAGAATGTCTTACAGACCTAGATACACCTTTCTATCTCTGAACCCCTGGTGCATGTGGGGGTCTCTGACTCTTGTGTCTGCAAGGTTCCTATACATATCTATGTATTAAACTATTAAAATTTCTCCTGCTAATCTGTGTCCTGTCTACTTGATTATTAGACCACCAAAAGAACTGTTAGGGTGAGGGAAAGTTTGTTTCTCCCCACACTGGCCACTGGGGTGGTTGTGATGATTAAATGAGATAATGCTGCACTTGCTCTCAAAGTGTGGTCCATGGAGCAACAGTTCAGCATCTCCTGCCAGCTTTTTAGGGTTGCAGACTGCCAGGCCCCATTGTAAATCTACTGAGTCAGAGCCTTTGTTTTTGCAAGAGACCTAGAGGGAACACAGGTGTGTATGATTCTTGTTTTGTGTTTCTGTTTGATGAGTTGGAGAACAAGGAGCCAGAACCAAAGTGTTGTTCTTTTTCATTGTGTCTAGTAAGGTTGCTGTCTCTGAAGAGGATGGCATTTTATTGGCAGAGGATAAAAATAATGTTTTCAAAGTTCTTAGGTAAAGCATTTAAAATTCACAAAAGTAAGGAAATGATTTTGTGTTTGAGCTATCACTGCATGGCCAGTATTTGTAGTGGGTCACATTTTCCAAAAGGTTTACTGTGAAAAGCAACCAAACCCCTCACCTAAATTTTGTGTAATTGTAGATTGTATTTTTAACTTGCATACTTATTAAAAAGATCTTTTGCTGAGGCCGGTGTGGCTCAGTTTGTTGGGCACTGTCCAGCAAATTGAAAGTTCACGAGTTCACTTCTCAGTCAGGACACATGCCTGGGTTGCAACCGATTGATGTTTCTTCCTTCTCTACCTCCCTTCTCCTCTCTTGTAGAATCAATAAGTGTGTCCTTGGGTGAAGATTTTTTAAAAAATCTTTGTAGTTTAAATTTTTTAATGTACAGCTCTCTCATTCCCAAAATAACTTTTGACCAGTTTGGACACTGATCTAAATTAAAGCTTTAGGAATAATGTATAATTCGGGGTGGGGGTTATTTTATTTTTTTTAATTTTTGGAGAAGGGAAGGGAGGGAGAAAGGGAGAGAGGAACCTCAGTGTGTGGTTGCCTCTCACACGCCCCCTACTGGGGACCTGGCTTTCAACCCAGGAATGTGCCCTGACTGGCACATTGAACTGGTGACCCTTTGGTTTCAGGCTGGCATTCAATCCACTGAGCAACACCAGCCAGGGCTAGTTAGAATATTTCTTTACCTGACATTCTAGTTAATCAGTAATAAAGTTTACTAATTTATGTTCACTGGTAAACTTAGGATTTGTACTTGAGTTTACATGCTACAGTGAAATCAGATGCATTGTTCTGCTTTTAAGTAATTTGGATCAGAATATTTTATAGAGAATGGTTAATTTCTTTGGGAATATATACCAAATACAGAAATTTTCTTTCAAATTAAAAATAAAAATAGGTAGTCTTTATTTAAATAAAAATAAGATCATTATTTTGTAAAGATGTTATCTCTCAACTGTGAATATTTGTAGTATAATAATTGATTTTTCTTTTTAAATGTATTTTTATTGTATTTTTTCCATTACCATTTATCCGCTTTATACCCCCTCTCCTCCACAGTTACCACACTGTTGTCTATGTCCATGAGTCCTTTTTTTATTTTTAAGTTTCATTTTTAAAATTTTTGAAATAGTTCAAACGTACTAAAAAATAAAATTTATATGTAGGTTTATATGTGATACTTTCATACTGACTACTTAGTTTTAATAGATGCAATATTTTACCATATTTGCCTCAGATATTTTAAGAAGTAAAATAGTACTGATGTAGAGTTCTCTCTCCCTCTTTAGAGATAAACACTACACTGGAGGTATGTAACATTCTCAGACCCTATGCATATTTTTATACTTTCAGTGAGTATGTATGTATCCATAATGAATTAAATAGTATCATAATAATATGAATATAGATATATATATACAAACACACACCATATACATATATACACAAGTATTATATATATATATATATACACACACACACTTATTTATATATGTGTGTATATATATACACTAACTTTTTAAGCTGAGACTTTTGGATTTATCCATGTTGACACATGTAGGTCTAGATCATTCGTTTACCTGGTATATAGCATTTCAATATATGAACACACTGTAGTTTATCTGTTTCCCTGCTGAGAGACCATTAGATAATTTCTATCTTTTCCCATGGCAAGCAGTGTGACAATACTAATTATCTTAGCAGCTACCACTGACAGTGCTTGTTATGTGTAGGAACTGTTCTGAGTACTTACATCCCTTAAAACAGGCACCAAACTCATTTTCACCACGGGCCACATCAGCCTCGTGGTTGCCTTCTAAGGGCCGAATGTAGAGCTCCTTGCCCCTGGTTAAGGAATAGTTACATTTATACAGCCCTAAAATTACATTCAGTTCTTTGAAGGCAACCAAGGGCTGATGTGGCCCCCAGTGAAAATGAGCTTGACAACCCTGCATTAAAACATTTAACACATTCAATCATTATACCATCCTATGAGATAGGGAAGTGAAGTAGAGAAGTTAGAAAATATCACCCAAGGTCACACACCTAGTGAACATTCTGGTAGGTGAGAATGTTCACAATATATGTGAGAGTTTCTCTAAAGAAGGTATGTGTGATTTCTGTGAATGCATATTTTCAACTTGAGTAGTTATGAGCAAATTGTCCATAGTGTTCATTACCAATTTCCAGCTTATACTAGGAGAGGTATAAAAACACCTCTATCTCTACATCTTTAGTAAAAGGCAAAAGATTTATACGATCTGAAGAGAAACCAGAGTATCTTCTTTCTCTACATCTTTTGACAACACTTGCTCTTATCAGACTTATTAATTTTAGCTAATTTATTGGGAGTAAATAGTATTCTTTATTATTTTTAATGAAAAAATCCTTCTTTGAAAAATCAGTGCCTGGAAAATCCAAGTGCTTTATTTAAGGAGGCATACTGTTTCAGCTGAAGTAATTATAAAGTGTAATTAGAGGCTGTTCTCTGAATTTGAATGTAAAAAATACTAGCCTTCTCCCTTAGCATTAAACTTTATGTCCTAAAATTTTTTTAAACATGCAAGCTTTGATGATACCTTCATTTTAATGATTTTTCCTGGCCTATATTAATATACCTTATCTCATTCTTCAGAGTCCTACTTGGGATTTCGCTGAGTTCTCTAACTGGATGGAATATTATTTCCCTGATGTATGAAAAAATCATACTAAAGTATACTAGATATCTTCCCTTTGCCCCTCTAGATCCACCCACCACACATTTTCACCCTGTCTGTGCCCTTGAACACTGACCCATGTAGATTAAATCAGTGGGCGTCCTTGACCTCTGGGAGGCCAATGGTAAGGGTACCCATACTTCCTGCTTTGTGATTCTTGTCCTGGTACAATTATTAATTAATATGGACCCCTTTCACATTCAGAAGTAGCCCAATTTGGATGAGAAATTATGAGAACACCCCAGTCCATGGGGAGAGGAAGTAGAGAGGTTGGCATGTTTATTAGCCTGATTCCTTTTTCTAGGAGCCAGCCACCCCTTCACTGAAGGTCACAGCTCCTGTCAGGTAGCCCTCCAAACACACAACTCTCTGGGTTCTGGACTAAGTTTCTTCTCCATTTCTTCAATTCAAAGGGTGCTGACAGATCTCTGACATTATAAGTCCTAGGGTACCATACCATTTTTCTTATTTTCCTGTATTGTGCCCTATATCTTTCTAAATAGTTCCTTAAGTGAACTCTCCTCAAATTACCCAATTTTAGTTTAGCATCTCTTTCCTGATTGAACTTCTGATATATTGTGTATGACATTATGTTTTATTTCTTTTATTTTTTTAAGATTTTATTTATTTTTTTAAAGAGAGGGGAAGGGTGGGAGAAAGAGGGAGAGAAACATTTATGTGAGGTTGCCTCTCCAGTGTCCCCACCTGGGAATCGAACCAGTGATCCTTTAGTTCCCAGGCCGGTGCTCAATCCACTGAACCACACCAGCCAGGGCTGACATTATATTTTAATTAAATGAATCTTTAGTTTAAGGTGCATTTAAAATAAAGCTAGGTTCAAGGTAGTAATAGTATGAATGTAATGCCTGGCTTAATATTTATAGAGCTTTCATGTACATTCTCATTTTGAACATGTTCATTTTGAGCATATTAAGTACTTTTAAAATTTCCATATGCTACTTGTAAGTTTTTAATATTAATTCTTTTCTCATCTCTTCAGATGAAGTTGGAGCCCTTGTTTTTGACATTGGATCCTATACTGTGAGAGCTGGTTATGCTGGTGAGGACTGTCCCAAGGTAAGTGTAATGTTAGAGTTAATGGGCTATGTAAGGGCCATTCATGTAGAATTAAATTCCTGCAGAAATACTGGCTCAAATATGATAAAAGACATTAGTTTGGGGAGAAAATGAGTCCTTGATAAAAGCAGGTAACACTAGCGTGTCATGTTTTTGACTCTTACAGGTGGATTTCCCCACCGCTATTGGCATGGTATTAGAGAGAGATGATGGAAGCACGTTGATGGAAATAGATGGTGATAAAGGCAAACAAGGCGGTCCCACCTATTACATAGATACTAATGCCCTGCGTGTTCCCAGGGAGAATATGGAGGCCATTTCACCACTGAAAAACGGGATGGGTATGGTTTTGTTTTCCTACGTAATTGATTATAAACACAGGGTATACTGGGTGCATGTGTTAGATGTAAAGTAACAGCTTCCTGTGAGTTGAACATCAGTAATTTTTTTCATTCTACAAACTGATGCATCAGATACTGAGAATACAAAGATGCATAAAACACATTTCTTTTCCTGAAGAAACTCATAGGTAGGAGGCATAGATGTATATATACAAAAATGTTGGGTAAGTGCTATATAGCTATGTCTGATAATCAGTAGGATTAGAGAGGAATGGCATTCATTCTGTCATTGGGCGTCAGTGATGGTTTTCACAAAGGAGGGAAGTTTTGTACCGAATCTTGATCAATGAATAAGAATTGGCCAGACCGACAAGAACAGGTACAGCAGAGCAGCCAGCATGTGTGAAGAGATGGAGTTGTGGAAGGAACTTACATGTTTAGAAATGTCATCAATTGTTGTACATATGGCTGCAACATGTACACATGTTGCACATTGAGTGCCTTATGGCCAGATGCAAGGAAGGTAGGCCGAGAGCAATCATAAAAGGACTCATAACCCATGCCAGGGGTGTATTAAGCTGGTAATAAGAGTAACCCCAAAGGAATTTAAACAGAGAGGTGTGAAATGTTCATGTTTGCCAGCTGGAAAAATCATTCTAAGAGCAATATGTAGTCTAGACTGGAGGAAGGTACTATAGACAAGAGGTTTAGTTAAAAGAGTTAGGAGTTCAGTGGAGAAATGAGTATTTAAATCGTAACACTGATGGTGGTGATCCTGAGGTGGCTTTCAGAGATAATCCAGAAGCAGTAGGTTTTTAAAGTGATTGATTGGATTGGTGAAAACAAGGATTGGGAAAGTTTCTTGGATTTTTTATTGGGATGACTGAGTTAAGAGTGCCATGCATTGAGGTAGGAATAGAAGGCATAAAACAAGTTCTGTGGTCTTAAAAGCTAAGTGAGTTGCTAATATCTAAGTTGCTAATACCTGAAATTCAGTTATTGACTGGAAGGACTACAGGACTCAGTGTATAGTTGTACTGAAGGCTCTGATTGTTGCACTGAAATGATACAAACAAAATCAGTAAGGGGAAAAAGGGGACATGGAGTGTAGTCCAGAGGAAGGCAGTACAAACTTCTAGGAGTCTTCACATGGTGCAGTCATACAAGATGTGTTTAATTCCTCCAGCACCAAGTTATAACCATATGTGTGTTGTCCACTAGGCTTTTTATTGGGAGATGGTCATGTAGGTATCCTGTGCCTAGCAAATACCAAAATCCTAGCCTCCCAGAAGGAAAGAAGGTTTTTATCATAAGCCTCATTCTTTGTACAAACTATTTAGGCACAATGAGCTACTCTTATCACGTAGGGAGTTTTATGTCAGTGCAGGAAACTGTTCACCAGTCAAATCCCCAGATGCCTACCAAGGGTCAACCTTGTAGCAGGTCTTTCTCAGGACTGCTGTGTTAACTCTTTTCTGCACAGCAAGTAAATGAGTTTATTATGAGTTCAAAGTGATTGAAAAAAGGTGCTAATGATTGTTGTAAGCAGATGACAAAGATCTCAATATATAGAACTGCATTATATTACTCTGGAACAGTTTGAAATAGGAGAACAGGGTTGAAGATGGGGTTCCTTGTGAAAACTTGTTCTGTATTTATAAAAAACCCACTGCCAACATCATACTCAATGGGCAAAACTAAAAGCTTTTCCCTTAAGATCAGGAACAAGATAAGGGAGTCTGCTTTCACCACTCTTATTCAGCATAGTACTAGAAGTTGTAGCCACAGCGATCAGACAAGAAAAAGAAATAAACAGAATCCAAATTGGGAAGGAGGAAGTAGAACTGTCATTATCAGCAGGTGACATGATAGTGTACATAGAAAATGTTATAGTTCTCCACAAAAAACCAGTTGACCTAATAAGTGAATTTGGCAAAGTAGTGGGATACAAAGTCAACATTCAGAAATCTAGGGCATTTTTGTACACCAACAATGAACTATTAGAAAGAGAAACTAGGAAAATATCCATCCCATTTACTATAACAACAAGAAAAATGAAGTACCTAGGAATAAATTTAACCAAGGAGGTAAAAGACCTATACTCTGAAAACTATAGAACACTGAAGAAAGAAATCAAGGAAGATACAAATAAATGGAAGCATTTACCATGTTCATGGATTGGAAGAATTAACATCATTAAAATATCCAACTACCCAAAGCAATCTATAGATTCAGTACAATCCTACTAAAATGCCAATAGCATATTTCACAGATCTAGAACAAGTATTTCCAGAATTTATATGGATTGAAAAAAGACCCCAAAGTCTCAGCAATCTTCAGAAAGAAGAACAAATTAGGAGGGATCACAATACCTGATATCAAACTACACTACAAGGCCACTGTAATCAAAACATACTGGTATTGTCGTAAGAACAGACACACAGATCAATGGAACAGAATAGAGAGCCCAGAAATAAACCCATGTCTCTATGGTCAATTAATATTTGACAGATGGGGCACAAGCATACAATGGAGTTAAAATAGCCTCTTCAATAAATGGTGTTGGGAGAACTAGACTAGTACATGCAAAAAAATGAAACTAAACCACCAATGTATACCATACACCAGAACAAACTCAAAATGGATAAAAGGCTTAAACATAAGTCAGTACCATAAAAGTCCTAGAAGAAAACATAGGCAGTAAAATTTCAGATATCCCACAAAGCAATATTTTTGCCAATATATCTCAACAAACAAGCAAAAAGTTTCTAATGTAAAAGCAAAGATGATGTCTATTTAAAGGACTGTGTTAGGAAGTAGAGCTATAGAATAAGTAGGTTCTGTGTATTAAAGTATTTAATGGTAAATCTTAGAAAAAAATCTCTCCAAAAATGCTGTATTGATCTCCAGTTAAGCACTGTTTTCAAGGCACTGATTTTACATTCTAGTTGAGGACTGGGATAGTTTCCAGGCTATTTTGGATCACACCTACAAGATGCACGTCAAATCAGAGCCCAGCCTGCATCCTGTCCTCATGTCAGAAGCACCGGTAAGGACAAGACTTGCCTTTCTAATGTTTCCTCTCCCCCAAGGACCATTCATTTGAAAAAAAAGTTTTTTGGCTTTAAAGGAGCTTAGAAATTTATATTTTGATGTTTGAAAATTAGGGGAAGAGGGATTAATTTTTAAATAATACTATAACTTTTATTTCAATAAATAAAATATTCGCAGAATAATATCAAAGCACCCCAATGAGTTCTGGTGGTTATTTATCTATTTTTTCCAGGGATTTACTTAACAGTAGAATCCTTGGGCTGCTTCCCATTTTGGTTTATGAATTGTCCCTTGTGCCACAAGTGCAGTACATAGCTGCTTTTATACTCAGGTGAGATGTCTGGGAGAGATGTTGATTGAGGGCTGCAAATTGGTAGACTGAAGCCTCTTTTGAAATAATAAATTATCAATCTACTGTTATTATAGTTAACTTCTGGTTTCTCTTATGAGTACCAGGTATAAATGGGAGAATTTGGTGACGTAAAATTCATACTTAGGATTATGATGACTAGATTCACTCTTTTTAAAAAAATGTTTTTAATTTCATTTTTGGGAGAGAGGAAGAGAGAGAGAAACATTGATTTGCTGTTCCACTTATTGATGCATTCATTGGTTGATTATTGTATGCCCTGACTGGGGATTGAACCCACAACCTTGGTGTCTCAGGACGATGCTCAAACCAGCTGAGCTACCTGGTTAAGACTAGATTCACTCTTAAGATTTAGTAATACTTTATGTTTATAGCAATCATAAGTCCCTTAATTGAAAACTTGGTAATTTCTGGAATTCATTGCAGCAGATAATTTTACTTCTTACTAAATAATAACCAAATTATAATTTATATTTATTAAATCTATTTCATTTCATATCTATTGAAATGAATTAAATTTTATAAAATTGTTATTATGAAGATTATTTGCCATGGTATTTTATTCTATTTTTAACATTTTACATATTTGTTAATATAGTGCTGTGATGAATCCTGACATAAATCAACATTTTAGTTTTTAAACAACAAATGACTTGCTTTTCTTTTTTCTCCTTATCCAGTGGAACACCAGAGCCAAGAGAGAGAAACTGACAGAGTTGATGTTTGAACACTACAACATCCCCGCGTTCTTCCTTTGCAAAACTGCAGTTTTGACTGCGTATCCTTGAAAGACCAATGCTTAGCTTTTCTGTAAAGGTAGATGTGGTATTCCTGAAGATGATGCCCCAGCAGGAAGACATGAGCTAATTCCTGCTTGTTCAGAACTTTGGGGTTTTTCTGTCTTGCTTTTTAGCTACCCATCTTTTAGTATTTCTTATTGGAAGTGATATACGAGAAAATATGAGAGGGTAAGGGAAAGATGCACTGAAATCCCACTTGTTAACAAGGTTATTAAGAATTTTGTTTTTTGAAGGAGAATGTGCATAGGAGGGAGTGTTGTGTCCAATTGGCAAAGATATAGTTCAGAGACTGCCATTTCCTCCCTCTCCTCCAATACCATAGAAAAGTAGAATTGGCTATAACTTTACTTAATACTAAATCACCAGATAGTTTTTGCAAGCATATAAAGGGACAGATATGGAAATATGCCCTCACCTCAAAGAATTTGTAATGTAATATTCTTGTTAGAAGCTAAATAATAGCTTTTAATATTACTTCAAAATAACCATTGGTAAAAGTCATAAAGAAGTACATGATTAATTTGAAATTTCTGTGTAGTAATTGTGGTAGTTCTGCAGAGTAGTATAGTAGTCTGACAACCTTTAATTTTTTTTAAAAAAGCTAGTTGTGCGACATGGGAGAAAGAGCCCTATATTTAGAGTTCAAGTTGGAGTGTTTACATTGGTGTGATCTTGAACTAGGTATTTAAAATCTGATCTTCACTTCAACTCATTTATCCTGTGTACTTCCCTGGAAGGCTGTCATATTAAGGTCATTTTTACGTAAACATGAGGATCACTGTGGTAACTCTAATCTAATATCTGTAAGTCTTGTAGATGACATAGCAAAACCAGTATAAGTGTTTGTTACAGTGATTTAGTTTATAGTTGAAGATCTATGTTTGGCTTCAGGAGTTATAAAAATAGGTTTAGGTCTGACTGTAGGGGCCTCCTCAAATATAAAAAAATGTGAACTTCAGACTCTAGGGAACCGTTAAAGGTTTTTGAGTTGGAGATGAAGAGTGCTAGCTGACCCATTGTGTGCATTATCTCATTTAATTTCTTTACTGACCTCATCAGGAAATGGAGTCAAAATAAGCAAGTTGGTCCAAGTTCACAATTTGGAAAATGGCACTTCTGAATTTGAATGTAGGTCTGTCTGTTTGGCTGCTTCCTTACAGGGAGTACGTAAGCAGAATTGGGCATTGTTTTATTTTTTAACTTTTTGTTACAGAAAATTTCTGACACAAAAGAAGATAGACTATTATATTGACTCTCTATAAGTTCACCCCAGTTCAATAATTTTAAGCTCATAGCTAAGTTGCATTAGTTATAGCCTCACCTATCTCCCCTCCCACCATGATTTTGAAGGAAATCCCAGACTTTAACTTTAGCCATACAAACTTGAACATGTATGTATCTATAAAAGATTTTACCGTGTTTTTTAAAAACAACAACAAAAAGATGGAACCACAGTTGATCTTATTTTTTAAAAAGTTTAGCATGTTTGAATCAGGGTCCAAACAACAAGGGTCATATGTTGTATTTGGACAGTGTCTCTTAGGTCTCTTTTAATATATAGGTTCTCCTCCTCCTCCCCTTTTTTTGTTCAGGGAGTAGATTGTCCTGTAGAAGTTTCCACATTTCTGGATTTCCCTGGCTGGTGGTGTTTTACTATAACACCACCAGTCAGGGAAATCGGTGTTGTCTTCTAGCTCAGTAGTTCTCAAACTTTGTATATCCATAGTTTTTATTTATGTGGGTTGCATCTGGCAGTATTTACCATATTATAAATTAAAAAAGAAAGTTAAAATTATATTTGCTTACTGTTATTTTAATTAGTAATAAGTTTATTGTATGTTAATATAAATAAAATATTTTCAAGAAATCGCAATTTTCCAAAACCCAAAAAATTAATGAGAAGAGCAGCGGCATCACTTAAAATTTTTTCACTCTCTTTAATGTTGAACTTAATAGTGGAAATTGAAGTCTCATATAATGCTTTTACATTCAGTATGTAGTGTATCACACACAACATACCCTCTGGAAAACTTTGCTATATAGTCATGAGAGAATGATGGTGAAAAAGACAAAGTACATTTTAGTGTTATTCTAAAATTGTTTTGATGTCTCAAAAGGATGGCATCAGGACTGCTCTACACTTTTAAAAATTACTGAAAATCCCTAAGAGCTTTTGTTTATGTGAGTAATGTCTACCAATATTACTGCATGACAAAGTAAAACTAAGAATTTAACTTTTATTTATTAGTTCCGTTTAAAGTACCAAAAATAGACCTGTTAACACATTTTTATGAAAAGAATAATTATATTTTCTAAAACAAAAATATCTTTTAAAGATTTTATTTATTTTTAGAAAGGGGGGAAGGGAGGGGAAAGAGAGGGAGAGAAACACTGATGTGAGAAACATTAATCGGTTGCCTCTTGTGTGCCCCGTCTGGGGACCAAATCTGCAACCCTGACCAGAAATTGAACCAGTGACCTTTCACTTTGCAAGATGATGGGAGCCAACTGCGCCACACTGGTCAGGGCTAGAACAAAAATATTAATGACAACAGTAGCATTGTTTTATCTGGCTTAATTGATGATAGCTGAGTTCTCCTATCTACCAGCTGCAGGCTCTGTCCTGTTGACACCTTAAGCTAAAAGGAAGGCTTCAATTTTCTGCTGTCCAAGCTGCATACTGTTGGAGAATGAATGTAGTTAAAAAGGTAGCAAGAGGTCAGTAGAGTAGCAGTAAAAACAGATAAATAACTAACCCTCTTTCTGGCCATTTTATTCTCAGACTCCATTCCTCTGATCATCTCTGCCCATTCCTCATTGTTGTTTTGCCCTTAGCCCTTCATGTCTCTTGACATGCTCTTTCTGGCTTAACTTACAAATTTCCTTGACTTCAGACACCAGTTATACAGTGAAAACTTCCATTCCGTATCTGTATTCCAGATCTTTCTTGTGAGCTCCAGGCTCAGCTGCTCAGAAGAACATGTTCTGTTAGTTATCTGTATGAGCACTTGAAGCTCATTTTGTCCAATACTGACTTGATCTTCTCTCCCCTCAAATTTATTCCTTCTCGCAGTTGCCCAGACCTAAAATCTTTCTCTTTAACCCTTAAAATGTATCGGTCATCAAGATCTATGTATTTTTCACCAAATACCTGTCAAATCCATTTATTTTTCTATATTCACTACCCTTGCCTTACGTGCAAACTGTTTCCAGTATTACTGCAACCTTTCCTCATAAGATTTTTCTTCCCCTTTTTATTGAATTTGTTGGGGTGACACTAGTTAACAAAATTATACAGGTTCAGGTGCACAGTGCTACAACACAGCATCTCCATCCATATTGTGTGTTCACCGGCTCAACTCAGGTCTCCATCCTTCACCATTTACAACCCCATACCCTCCACCAGCCTCCCACCACCCTCCATACCCCTTTCTCTTATCTTGCTCATTCTTCACAGGGAAGCTCCAATAATCTTTGTTAACTGCCAGCCAGCTTTAAGCCAGAATCATCTTCTTCATTCTTTTCTTCATTCTTCTTCCAGGCTGTACTAGTGAACTCCTTAGGTGCAAGCTGTTTCTGGGATTACTGCAACCCTTCCTCTTAATAATCTTTGTTAATTGCCAGCCAGCTTTAAGCCAGAATCATCTTCCTCATTCTTTCCTTCATTCTTCTTCCAGGCTATACTATTGAACTACTTACATTTCCCTGACCTCACCTGCTCTCTTGCCTTACAGCTTTTTCTCATGTTCCTCCTCTTTCCAATGTCCCCCTCCCCAGCTTATACTAGGATTTCCCAGGGATTGGTCAAGTGGTCTCTCCATACTACCCTCATCATCCTGAGCTGTTCTTTTTACAGCTTTATCTACTGATTTCTACTTCACTAAACAGGATATACCTCAAGGCAGAGACAGTTGGTTCACCTTTGTGTGTCTTCTGTGCTGAAGGAATGCTGGTACCAGACTGACCTCTTTCCTTCCCTCATTTATTGACCATGAGACTCATCACTAGGCACACAGTAGATGCAGAGTAAATAATTGATGACCAAGTAAATGGCTCCATTGCTAAACAGTGTTCAAGATGTTCTGGGCCAAGCTGTTCAGAGTGGGAACTGCCCATATTCATGGTGTTGAGTTGACCTGGATGGGCACACTCAGCTGCCACACTGCTGAACTACTTCTTTAATTCTTTGTGACATGCCCTTAGTTCCTAGCTCAAAGTCCACAGCCTCCCTCTGTGCTTACCAAGTTTCTGTGGATTTCATTAAGTAAATGCTTCTCAACTTGTTATAAGCCCTTAGATATATCTCCAGAGACTCTGAGTGTGTGATTGTGTTAGTTTTGACCAACTTAACAGGACTCTCTGCGGGAAAGAGGGTTCCCCAAGTTCTTCCCACCACCGGTCTAGAAGTCAGTCCTGCCTATTATTTGTTTCTAGTCCAGAGTCATTGTTTGATACCAATTTTAAGCCCTAGATTTACTTTCACACATTTCAAGCTGTAATGCCTCTGTTTACAAATGCCTTCATAAAACCTTCCCTTTATAATAAACATTATTTTTAGGAGCCTTAATTCTTACTTGTCCTTAATGCTTTAAACTAGATTTGCTAATGGGCGCTCTACTGGGCTTATTTTGGACAGTGGAGCCACTCATACCACTGCAATTCCAGTCCACGACGGCTATGTCCTTCAGCAAGGTACGTGTATTTAACCAGTGGGCTCTGAGACCGTGTTAGCTGTCAAGAAGACACAGACAATGAAACTGGGCTGTCAAAACATACCAAGTTCCAAATAATGTCTTTTTTGAAGAGATTTTTTTTTTAAATGTGGTGTATAACATGAATTTAAAACTGATGCATAGCTTGATGCATGCTTTGAGGGATAGTTCTGTTAGTTCTCCTTGAAAAGAATTATTGACATAAATCCACTGAGGACATTTGTCCCAAGGAGTTTGAACTTAATGCTGTCCTAGCCTTGTTTACTCTTTTTCATAGGTATCGTGAAATCCCCTCTTGCTGGAGATTTTATTACTATGCAATGCAGAGAACTCTTCCAGGAAATGAATATAGAACTCATTCCTCCATATATGATTGCATCAAAAGTAAGTGATGACTACTGAATTTTTGTGTTTATATATATATGTATACACATACACAAATATATACACATATATATTTTTGAAGCTTTTACTTATTTATAGAGAGGGGAAGGAAGGGAGAATGAGAGGGAGAGAAACATCAATGTGTGGTTGCCTCTCCCACGCCCTCTACTGGGGACCTGGCTGGCAACCCAGGCATGAGCCTGACTGGGAATCCAACCGGTGACCCTTTGGTTCACAGTCTGGCACTCAATCCACTGAGCCACACCATCCAGGCCTGTTATATTTTTACTATAAAATTTTTTAAAAATATTTTCCCTGAATTTTCTTTTTGGAATTTATCTCCGCCTCTTCACCTCATGTTGTGAGCTCTGTTATTCTAGCTTATGTTCTTGGTACTCAGGAACCTGTGCGTGAAGGATCTCCAGCAAACTGGAAAAAAAAAGAGAAGTTGCCACCGGTTACAAGATCTTGGCACAATTATATGTGTAACGTAAGTGACCATTATCCTCTTTATGAAAGAGTTATAGCCTGTAAATCTTAGAATACAATATAACATAGTTTTCAAATTTTACATTTTTAATGATACTGTACAAACAGAATTAATAGGTTTTTGGGGGGTGAGGTTGCATTTCATACCTACCAAACAAATATTAGGTTGGCCAAAAAGTTTTTCGCCAATAACTATTGATATGGATATTTGAGTATGTTGGCTAGCTCCTGCATGGTATAACATTCATTATTCTCAATCAATGTCTTGATTGGATTGCTATCAACCTCATCTTGTCTACCTGACCATGGAGCATCATCCAAAGAGAAATCTCCAGCATGAAACTTCTCAAACCACTTTTGACACGTTCAATTGGTAACAGCACCTTCTCCATACACTGCACAAATCTTTTTATGTTTCAGTTGCATTTTTACCTTTCTTGAAATAATAAGCATAATATGCCAAAAATGATGCATATTTTTTTTCCATCTTCAGTGTTAAAATGGCTACACAAACATTCACCAATTTTGATAAGTTTTTTAAGTGCTCACTGATATGAGAGCGGTCACATACAACCTAACAAAATTGTTTTGAATGAAGTTAAAAGACAACTAAGTACTACTAGAGCTGTCGTATGGAAAAAACAGAACCAACTTTTTGCCCAACCCAATATGTCAACAAACTATAGATTTATGTGGATTACTGTGGTGAGACTTGGAAGGAACTTTGGTTTGAGGGGGGAAAAACAAGCATTATGCTATTTTAAGATATTTTTTTGTGGAGAAAATGGTTTTCATGTGTGGTGACCTGCTGGTATGGCTCTTTATATTCTCTTTCCTACATTCATCCAAGTATGAAAAAAATTTGTTATTGTTGATAGCAAGGAACCAATGAGAGATTCTTTTTAGTAAAACTCCATGTTTTTTAAATTTTTAAATTTATTTTTAGAGCGAGGGAAAGGAAGGGAGAAAGAGGAAGAGAAACATTGATGTGTGGGAGAGACATCAATCAGTTGCCCCTTGTATACCTCCAACTGGGGACCTGGTCTATAACCCAGGCATGTGCCCTGACTGGGAATCAAACCAGGACCTTTTGGTTTGCAGGCAGATGCTCAATCCACTGAGTTATTCCAGCCAGGGCACATTTCTGAATATATGACTTACTGACTGACTGACTGGGAGATGTTACTAAAACAAACACTCACAGCACAGATATACATTTATTTCTCACAGTAAAAGGATATAAAAGCAGGGATATATCCTCTCTAAATGTTTTTGTGCCTAAATATAGAAAATTTTGTGGGTGCTCAGTACAAGGAAGACTTGTGAAGATGGTTAGTAAACTTACCAGGATATTATTAGACAAGATATATCCTTTAAACCAAGACATCATTTGTATTTCAGAGCAAATTTTTTCATTGTTTTACACTAATGCAGTCATTAAAAATTACTTCAAATGCAATATATATGCATGTTTTTAATATATTTATCTAATGAAATCTTCTAAGTCTGAGCATATTTTAATGGTAAAAACAGTGTTTTGAAACTGGTCTTGTTATGCAAGACTGTGGTAAAAGGGTTCCTAGTTTTTATCTCATCATCATTCCATTAGTGTTTTGATTTAACTGTTCTGCATTTTAGCTTTTAATTCAGATTCATATAATTGAGTTTCTTTGAAATTCAAGAGTCCTTGCTGGATAGATTTATACACTTGAAAGTACTTACCCACCTAGGGTGAGTACTTAAGAAAAGTATTTTGGAGATAATGTTATGAAGGTATAGATTGCAAGGGTAAATTCAATAACTTTGTTTCTTAAACTTTCTTGTTTTTATCCATAGTGTGTTATCCAGGATTTTCAAGCTTCAGTATTGCAAGTATCGGATTCAACTTATGATGAACAGTATGTTTTATAATTTTGTTTACAAGACATAATTTAATAGGTCATAAAAATTTTCAACTAATCTTTTAGAAAACTGTATACTTCCTAAATGAGGAAAGGAATTGATTTAGATTAAAAAAGAATAATAGAATATGCTTAACTGATCAAAAGGTAAAAAGTTATGTTAAGGAATATGGAATAACATTTTCAAAGAAAACAGTCATTCTCACTTTGCTTTTATGTCCATTGATTACTTAGTAGTTTATAATTTTTGAAGAGGACTGTTTTTGTCTTTGTTTAATAAAGTTTAATATGTTTTCAGAGTAGCTGCACAGATGCCAACTGTTCATTATGAATTCCCCAATGGCTACAACTGTGATTTTGGAGCAGAACGGTTAAAGATCCCGGAAGGATTATTTGACCCTTCCAATGTAAAGGTATGAAGGTTTATTTCATAGTTAGCCTGGCTTTTCTTGTATATCTAGAGATCTTGTATAATTATAAAACCTAGATAATACTAAAATTTTTTAGATGTGCTTTATTGTTTGAAGTTCTCTGTGTCACCACTCACTGTGCTTTGTTGCAGGGATTATCAGGAAATACAATGCTGGGAGTCAGTCACGTCGTCACTACAAGTGTTGGAATGTGCGATATTGATATCAGACCCGTAAGTCCAGCTTCCTGTTTCTTGTGTGAAGGTGTATTTTCGGGCACCAAAATAACCTCAGATCATTATTTAAGTTGGCATCTTGGCCATGGATTTTGAAGTCCATTTTATAACAGAAAATAGGAAATAATGATGTGTTAGAAAAGAAAAAATATGAAACTCTTGAGCTATGGTGTCCAGTGCAGTACCTAATAGCCCCATGTGGCAATTTAAAGTAAAATAATAAACATTTCAAGGTCAGTTCTGTATTTGTACTACCACATTATAGATGTAGCTAGTAGCCACTGCAGGCCAGTGCAGATATACAGCATTTCCACCATCACACAGTTCTTTTGGACAGTGCTATTCTAGAGATTTCATAAAATGTGACAAACCAAAATGAGGCGGACCCTGGCCAGCAGGATCCGTGTGTCGTGGTTGCAAGAGACAAATTCAAACAGACTGCAGAAGTCCTGTGGTGAAAAGGGGACGGCATGGCCTCTGTCTAAGTGAGAGAGAGGGTCCCGACCTCGACCTCCACCTGGCAGGCTTTTATTGCTTTTCTGGGCACGTTACATCGAGAATGGTCCTCATTTACTATGCACAGGTTCACTGTAGGTGATTACCTTTTACAGATAACAAAGATAAGAATGTTGCTAATTACTTCAAAGAGAAGGATGTTACAGATCAAGGTTACACTCCATACTTGGGAGGTTTAGCACAGACTTTAGGAAGTTACTTTAGAGATGTGCAGTAAACATTTGCTGCGTCAATCCAGGATGAGGGAGTTTTAGCAAAAGCAAGTGTCATAGCAACCTAGGTACAATGCAGGCCTGATTCCCCACAGGAGAACCTATCCATGGGTGCGGCTTCTGTGTGCCGGACCTCGCTCCCACTGGCCTTTCCTATTGGGGGCTGGGCTACATTCCCACACCACATGGAACGGTCCCCTATACCAAAATACCTATGATTGGTGATTTTTCCTGTTTGTTATATGGTTATCCTTTTATTTTTTAATAAGGTGTTTAAATTATGTCACTTGTATGAGGAATGTAGTTTAGATAATTTCCTTAACTTGATAATTTTCTGCTTTTTCAAGTTTTAAACACTAACTCCATATTATAACACCACACTGATCATTAGATTGATTATTTCAAATTAAAACACTGGTTTTAGTTTGTAGCCAATATATTGCCTTGCTTTTCTTTGGGTTAATTCTGTTGCTTACAGCAAATGCCGAGGGTGGGTTTAGAAACCATGTTGTTTAAAAAGACTTTGGATGCTATAAAAAAAAGTTCTTTATTTCAGCTAGTCACCTAGCAGGCATGTGCTGTTTCTAGGACAACAGGGATAAAATTGTGGAATCTTTTAGTGCAAAGTCAAGGCCACCTTTGGAGAAAGGCAGTTGAAGTACATTTACTGTAAGAGAGTGATAGCTTTCTCTTTTTAGTGAAACTTCTTTTAACTAATGTTGATTGCAGAGGAGACTCTTTTGTATTCCATTTTCTTTCGAAAGTGAGACAATTTATGCATTTGGAATAAATTTTTGTAATATGAATTTACCCACAAAAAAAAGCAGGCTGACATTTAACTTTCTGATACATTCTTGCAAATTAGAGATATATGTATACCCTGTAAGTAGGAATTTATTTTTGTTTGGAGAGGCCTCAGCATGTAGATGTTATAAATGTTGTAAAAGTTCTCCATGTGGTCTGGTGCACACCCATAGAAGAGGACGATGGCGGTGATTTTCCGGGATTCTTGTCAGAGTGTGTGTTGCCCATTACAATCATTAAAGAGTCACACTGTCTAATTTTAAATACCAGAACTTCCAGAGGAGCATTTTAAGTTGAAGGCATTAACTCTAATGCTTAAACTATATCTCCAATTAAATATGGCAGCTATCTCCAAAAATTATGATGGGTTTTAGAATAATTGCTTTGAGTTAGTGGTCCTTATACCTTAATGGATGTTACCATCACCTAGAGAGCTGTAAACAACTAATTCAAAACCCCATCCCCAGAGGTTTTACTGAAGTGCCCCAGTCACTGGTGTTTTAAAACCTGGCTATGTGGGTGGAATGTGCAGCCAGTACTGGGGACCACTGGATTAAGTATTAGGTCTGTGTAAAAGTATAACAACTTAAAAAGAAAGGGACATTGTAGTGGCAGACATGGTCTTATCTGTAGTTGTGTTTGAAAACTGTTGGAAACGCTTGGAACTGCCTTATTTTTTGTTTGCATCCTAGGGTCTCTATGGCAGTGTGATAGTGGCGGGAGGAAACACGCTAATACAGAGCTTCACTGACAGGCTGAATAGGGAGCTCTCTCAGAAAACGCCCCCGGTAAGTTTTGTGTGTTCTTTAGAGGCATTCTTCAGTCACAGGTTTCCTCCCCACTGCTGTAATTGTATAGATAAGGTTTGTTTTTCAGTAAATTGATGATATTTTGTGTGCCTGAACAGTATTATTTTAATAAAGTTAATATCCATTGTTAATTAAATTTTCCTAGATGGCATGTATTATTTACTCTTGTTACTATTTGAATCTCATTTTATTCATTGATTCCATATTTAAGTACCTATAGTCTGCTAGGCCCTGGAGATTTAAACATAGTCCCTGCCCACTAAGTGCTCAGTCTGCAAGAATGAACAGACATGGTAACAATAATGGCTGTAATGTGCTAAGTGGCTCAGTATGTCATGAACCAGGCACTCTTGGGAACACTGAGGAGCAAGTGTTTAACTGCCTGGGAGTATCAGAGGAAAGCTTGGAGAAGAAGCTGTTTGAATAGGAGTTAAGTGGTTGGTAATTTATGAAGGAACTTGTAGGTGGAGGGAAACCCCATATGCACAGTAAGAAGGGAGGATGATCTATTCCAGTATCTCAAAGTGGTCAGCTTGTCATCTGTGCAGAAGCGGGGAAAGTGATGTGACTTGTTAGATGGACGGTATATTAGTTCCTAGGTCTGCTGTATTGAAGTACCATAGAGTGGGTGGCTTAAAACAACAGTAATGTATTCTGCCTTGGTTCTGGAAGCTAGAAGTCTGATATTTTGTATTAGCAGAGCCACGCTTTCTCTGAAATCTACAGAAGAGAATCCTTCATTCCCTCTCCCTAGCTTCAAGGGTTTGCCACCAATCCTTGTTGTTTCCTGGATTGCAGCTACACTTCAGTCTCCATCTCTGATGTCATATAGGAATATCCCCTCGTGGGTCTGTCCTTCTCATAAAAGAACACTAGCCATATTGGATTAAGGGTGCACTCTCCTCCAGTATGACTTTCTCTAATGCTTCTTAATTATATTTGCATAGACCCTATTTCTAAATTAGATCACGTTCACAAGTACCAAGGAGTATAACTCCAATATATCTGTTTCAGGGACACAGTACTGTTCACACAATATGTAACCATGTCCTGTAGCTTATTAAGAGCAAACTTAAAGGATCGAGTTTAGCAGAGGACCAAAGAGCTCCAAGGTTTGTTTTTAAAAGATTACTGTGTACCCTGACAGTGTGGCTCAATTGTTTCAGCAAAGCGAAAGGTCACTGGTGCTATTCCTGGTAGAGTACATGCCTACGTTGCAGGTTTGGTCACTGTTGGGGCTTGTATGGAAGGCAACCAACTGAAGCTTCTCTCTCACATCGATGTTTTGCTCCCTCTCTTTCTGCCTCCCTTCCCTTCTGTCAAGAAAGAAAAGAAAGAAAGAAATTAATCATCACCTGAGGATTTGTTTTAATTGATTCTATTTTATTAAATTATATTTTATTGATTATGCTATTACAGTTGTCCCACTTTTCCCCCTTCCCCCCTTCCACTCAGCATTCCCAACTCTTTCGGGCCATCTGTACCCCCTTGTTCATGTCCATGGGTCATGTGTATAAGTTCTTTAGCTACTCCATTCCCCATACTATACTTTACACCCCCGTAGTTATTGTGTAGCTACCTATTTGTACTTCTTAATCCCCTCACCTCTTCACCCTTTTCCCCATATCCCCCTCCCATCTGGCAACTTTTTTATTAAATAAAAAAGTCTCTTTTAACATTTCATATAATAATGGTTTGGATTTATGAACTCCTTGAGTTTTTTCTTGTCTAGAAAGCTCTGTATCTGACCTTCATATCTAAATGGTAGCTTTGCTGGGTAGAGCAATTCTGGCTTTAGGTCCCTGCTTTTCATGACTTTGAATATTTCTTGCCAATCCCTTCTAGCCTGCAAAGTTTCTTTGGAGAAATCAGCTCATAGTCTTGTGGGAACTCCCTGTAAGTAACTAACTGCTTTTCTCTTGCTGCTTTTAAGACTCTTTATCTTTAACCTTTGGTATTTTAATTATGATGAGTCTTGGAGTGGGCCTCTTTGTGTCCATCTTGTTTGGGACTTTCTATGCTTCCTGGATTTGCATGTCTGTTTTCTTCACCAAATTTGAAGAAGTTTTCTTTCATTTTTTTTTTCAAATAGGTCTGCTTTCTTGCTCTTTTTCTTCTCCTTGTACTGCTATCATGCAAATGTTGGAATGCTTGAAATGGTTCCACAGGCTCCTTACACTATCCTCATGTTTTTATATTCTTTTTTCTTGTTCTTGTTCTGATTGGTGGTTTAGCTACCTATTTCCTTATGTTCCAAATCATTGATTTGAGTCTTGGCTTCTTCAACTCCACTGTTGGTTCCCTGTAAATTGTTATTTTATTTCAATTAGTGTATCCTTCCTTTCTGACTATATCTTTTTTATGCTGTTTAGGTCCTCACTAAGTTCATCGAGTGTCCATATAACCAGTGTTTTGAACTCTGCACTTTGAATACATCACTTATCTCCATTTTGTTCAGTTCTTTTTCTGGAGTTTTCTTTGTCTCCTCATTTTGGTAGCCTTCCTATGTTTGTTTCTATGTATTAGGTAGAGCTGCTGTGACTCCCTATCTTGGTAGTATAGCCTGATGTAGTAATTATCCTGTGGGGTCTAATGGCACAGCCTCCCCTATCACCCAAGCTGGGTACTCAAGGTGTGCCCTTCATGTGGGCTGAGTACACCCTCCTCTTATAGGTGGACCTTGATTGCTGTTGACAGGTCAGTGGGAGGGATTTACCTAGACTAGTCAGCTTCAAGGACTGGCTGTGACCACAGAACACCAACCTCTGTCCTCCATGGAGAATCAGCTGTGCGGGGCAGGGTGATGGTGCTCCAACATGGTCTGTAGGTGTCCATTAGTCTACAGACTCTGGAGTTTCCCCAGATGGTACAGGCCAAGGTCATTCCCCACTTGTGTTTGGCTCAGGGCCACCCTTCCTGAGCTATAAAGCAATCTTCAGGTGGCTGCTACTTGTGCTGGGCTTGGAAGTTGCAGGTGAAGCCAAGCTGTGAACCTAGGCTGGGTGCTGCTAGTGCCAGGCCTAGGGCCACTAAGCAAGAGGTATGGGGACTCAGTAAGTCCAGCTGTTGTTTGTTTGAGAAGATTTAGGAAATTGTGAAGCATGAGCCAAGACCAACCATTTATATGGAAAAACCAGTGTTAACAGCTTGGGTTGGTCCACAAGTTGGGTGGATGGAGCCTCAGGGATCTCTAGGGCAGGGCAGTTAGCCAGGTTGATGGAGTCTCAGATATGGTACCCACCTGCAGGCTCTGTTGCTCTGTGGGGAAGCTACAGAAGAGGGGCAATGGTCCCTGCCTGCCTTTCTTTCTGGGAGAAAGCTGTTTCCTGGCTCTTGCCTTGATGGCTTCAGTTCTTCCCCATGTACTACTATACCTTTCAAGCTGCTACCCTAGTGGTAGAGCTCCAGGGGAGTGAATCTAAATAAGTCTGTGTGTGAGTTCTTTAAGAGACTCTAGCAGTTTCTTCCACCAACTCAATTCCCAGTGGTTTTTGCAGCCAGAAGTTACAGGGACTTACCTTCCTAGCACTGGAACCCTGGGCTGGGGGGCCTGGTGTGGAGCTGGGACTCCCCACTCCCAAGTATCCTTCCTGAATTTTTGTCCACTACACATGGATGTGGTACAAGTGCATCCGAATCTTCGCCCTTCCTACCAGTGTGGATGGATGTGGTTTCTTTAATTCTGTAGTTGTTGAGCTTCCATTCAACTCAATTTCTGACAGCTCTGAGTGATAGTCTTTCTATAGTTTAGTTGTAATTTTGCTGTGGTTGTGCGAGGAGGCAAACCATGTTTACCTATGCTGCCATCTTGACAGAAGTCCAATGTAGTTAAATCTTAATTGATTTTAGGGAGAGAGAAAGAGAAACATTGATTCATTGCATCCTCAATGCTCCCAGACTGGAGATCAAACCCTCAGTCTAGGTAGGTGCCCAAGCAGGAACTGAACATGCAGCTTTTTGGTGTAAGGGACAATGCTCCAACCAACTGAGCCACCTGGCCAGGGGGAAAAATATATATTTTCACTGATCATTGTGTACACTGGGATAACTTTTAAAAAAATAGAAGAACCTGGTTTGGGGAGAAGGTAGTTTACAGGGTTCATTGATAACAGTAGCAGTCTAACTTTAGATTTTTGAACTTCTATCACATAGTTTTTGTAAGTTATTCTAAACTAATGTTGTTTTAAAAAACTTATTAGGCATTGCATAGACCCTAACAGTATTGGTATATTTGATAGTCTTTTGGTTTCTTACCTGAAGAAGTACTTTTCATATGCCAAATTTTTGTAATTGTGTTATTTAAATATTGATGTAGGCACAACATTGACTCCCACCCCTATTTACACCATGCTTGGACATATAGTCTGGTTACAGATATAATCATTATTTTTTACAAAGTCCCAGAATAGTGATTATAGACATGGGCTATCAAGACCAATTAGATAATATTCTTATTCATTAGGAGGCAATTAAAGATGAATGAAATAAAAGGGGAAAATTCCATTGTAAATAGGTATCAACCTGTTCCCCACTTACAAAAACCACTTTCATCCCTCCTGTCCCCAGCCCCCTCACCATACGATATAGTTCACCCTACCACACATTTATTTCACTGTAAAAAAAGACTCACACTATGTGTTCATATTTAGAATAATAAAAATATCAACAATTTGAGAACTATCCCCAGGAGCAATTTCCTAGGTCAAGGGAAGAAACCTCTTGATGCAGGAAATGAGAGAGAGAGCACTGAGGCCAAAAACAATGATTATCAAGAGACTGTGACTGCAAAACAGGAATTCTAATTAGGAAGAAAAGCAGTATAAATAAAAAATTTACCTGAGATCTGATGTCTGCACTTCGTTTTCTAAGTGGGAGATGGTAGACAATGTGGAGTGTGGAGGAGTAAACTATGGTAGGGAGGGATAGGATAGCATGAAGCCTAAAAAGGCAGTAGAGAGAAAATTGAGGAGGACTACTGAAGGGGCTGCAGGTTGGGATAACAGTTTGTTGGAAGAAATGAAGTAATATAGGATGCACTTAGCACTGTACCTGATGTATAGTAGTGTTAATTATGTTTGCTGTTGGTTATAGGATATAAAAGGTAAATGTTTTATTCTTTGTAGTTGTCTAATGTTTATATAATATATTTTCTTATTAAATTTACACATAAAAACCATAGTTAAAGCACTTTATAAAAATCTTTCTATGCAATACTTTCATTTATGCCAATATAAGCCTAGCTTTTACAAAAAAAATCATGTATAATCAGTGTTTCAACCAGTCATTCAGAAGTCCTCCAAGCTGAATTTCCTAATGTGAGTTACCTGTTGTAATGTTAGTTACCTGTTGTAACTAATAATACTTACTGTTCCCTCTCGATTTTAGAGCATGCGGTTAAAACTGATTGCAAATAATACAACAGTGGAACGGAGATTCAGTTCATGGATTGGTGGCTCCATTCTAGCTTCTCTGGTGAGTAGAGAAAGTGCTTTCAAAAAGAACAATTCTTACTGAATGATTTAACCTAAATATACCACTGAACATACTAACTTTACTACAAAGACTACAAATGATGCTAGTACACCATGTACCTTTGCATTTTATAACTGTCCAGTGAGTGGAGGACCTAATAGAACCAGTTCTACGTGTATTAATCTAACAAAAGGCTTTGTTGCCTTATTAGTGGGTATTTGTCAGCCTAAGTTCAAGTTTCCAATCTCAGACAGGTGGGAATCGGTTAACTTATTTACGCCTCTTCCAATGATACCCTCACTGGCACTGGTCAGGACTTAGATGCAGCATATTTAGGATGAAACATTCCTTCTCAGGTTCTGGTTGCTCCCTGGCCTGTTGGTAAGGTAGAGGACGTCAGGAATTGGTTCTTGGGGGAAATGGTAGAGTCATGGTGCTGGGTTTTCATGTTGCTCAGACTGGCTCCTGCGTTGAATCAGAAGAAAAAGTCCTTGTACTCCTCTGCACCCCATATTGGAGAATGTTCCCTTCTCAGAGCAACCGAAGTAAATGTCACCAAGGACTTACACTATCCACCTTAAGCAATTAAATGTTTGGAACTGACCATATATGTATTTCTTAATCTATTTCCAATGTTTTAGTGGATCTTTTTTAAAAAAAAAAGATTTTATTTAGCTATGTCATTTATTTATTTATTTATGAGGGAGAGAAAGAAACATCAATTGGTTGCCTCACACACACACCACACCCATGGAGCAGGCCCACAACCCAGGCATGTGCCCCATGGCAACCTTTAGCTTTGTGGGATGAAGCCCAATCAACTGAGCCGCATGAGCCAGTGGTTAGCAGATCTTTGATCAGAACAAGATACCATGTGTGAATTTACTTGAATAGAGTTAATCATAGGGAATGGGTTTCTCCTACTTACATATTTTATTATTAATGTTGCTCAGGTTTCTTCCTCCTCCGGCCACTTTCTTCCTTTCTTTTCTATGTTTATTTGGTAAAGTGCTAGTGTAGTATTGTATATGTACTTGCAAAATTTTATTCTAGTTCTGATGAGCACTTTTTAGCTCTACATGTTAGTATTAATCAAGTCCTAGAACACTTCTTCAGTTCTGTACTAGGTTCAAGCCTTCCAACAGTTTATATTGCTGCCTTAGATTGGCACCAAGCCCCATCATAGCTAAACCCTCCATCTTTCTTTCACAGCCTTTTTCTATCCTCATGATGGTGTAACAGGTATAGAGGGATTTAATATCCTTCTAACCCTCAATAGTGCCGTGGGTGTTCCGGAGGAGGGCAGAAATAACAAGACTAATGAAATACTAATTGTGTGTGTGTGTGTGGGGCGGGGGCAGGGGGGTCGGTTAAGAGTTCTTCAAAAGTTAGGAATTATGAAAATAAAGATATGTAAGTTTTCTTTCCATTTTACAGGGCACCTTTCAACAGATGTGGATTTCCAAACAAGAATATGAAGAAGGAGGGAAGCAGTGTGTAGAAAGGAAATGCCCTTGAAAAGTGTTCCCACTGCTCCACTTTCCTGTCTCCTTACGTTTCATAGCTTTAGTGCACTCAGGAAAAAATGACCATCTTTTGTAGAATATTTATACATTTTGCATATTTCAATTTCCACTTAAATTTTTCAAGGTTTTAACTGGCTCTAAAAATTAAAATAAGTTGTACTTTCCTTGGAATGCACTTATTCTTATTATAAGCATTTTATAATTTTGTATAAATGTCTATTTTTTCTAAATATTTTCCTTTCAGTCAAATGCTTTCCAACTCTGCTTAGTATATTAATTACCAGTGAATTGGTAGAACTGCCTTTTATTGACATATAAATTTATTGCCTATGCTTTTTATCTTAGGCTTGCAAATTTAAATTAAAATTGCTAGCCATTAAGAACTAGGTCTTTGGACTGTTGTTGTCTTGTGACTTGCTACTTTAAATACTAAATGTATTTGTCCGTATTTTCAGTGAAAGTACACGCTATTTATTAACAGCAGTATCCATACCACCTCATATCCTATTATCAGTAATAGTAAGAATGTTACCAGGTGGCCTTTCCTATAGCAGTTAACATTACTTTCACACTCAGAGATACAGGTGATGTTGAAGTCTGCTTAGATGTCATCATTTATAAAATGAGCATTTAACCTGAACTTTATACCTGATTTTTTAAAATTTTTACAAGCACGACCATTTCCAAATCGGCATGCTGTGTTAACACTTAAAACGGTTGACAGTTGAGTAGAAACACAATTTCTTTATAAAGCACTTATCATATAGGTACTTTTGTATACAGACTGTTTACTTAAGAAAAACAAAATGGTAAATTAAGACTTCTAATATCTTAAACTAAACTTGACTTCTCAGCTTCAGAAATATTGGAAACTTTTTCTGAAGATTTGCTTCTCCCTTGCTTGGATATAGGCTTGTTTCTTATATCTTAGTCTAGAAGAATAAAATCATAACTGCAATTTTTATACAAAACTATTTATTTGTCATGCAATACTATCAAAATATGTTGAAATCAATGACTTAAAGGCCTCAATGACTTAAAGGCCAGGCTCTGTATTAGGTGTGTCATGTATATTATTAAACTTAAATAATCACTGTCCTACAAGTCAAAGATACATGTGAAATCAAACGCATCTGTCACCTTGCACCAATTCTTTGTATTTCCTGACTGGCAAGATGGAACAGATCTTGTGAGCCTGTAAAAGAATGATCTATCTTTCTACCTTTATATCTCAGACAGAAGTGCTGGCAGAGGCTATTGTTCCTTTGATGAGTCCCCTCCCACCACAGAGCTGGCAGGTGGTCACCATATCTGAGACTCCATCAACCTGGCTCACACTGTTTGCCTAGCCCTGGTATTCCCCGTGGCCCTGCCCCACCCAACTTTCTGGCCTACCCAAGTTATTTCCTATGGATTTTCCATAGGAATGGCCTGTCTTGGCTCATACTTTAGACTTTCCTAAAATCAAACAAGTAGCAGCTGGCTTTGGTTCACAGTTCAGCCTGGCCTGAGCACCTCCAACCCCAGCACATTCTGTAGCTTATGTCAGGTGACCCTGGACAAAACACAGGCAGTGCCTGACTTGGCCTGCACATCCCAGCAGGCCCCAGGGCCAGCATACACAGTGGACAGCTTCAGACCACTTAGGAGCACCACCACGCAACCACTTCCACATACAACATACTTGAGGGGCAGACTCTGGGCATCAAAGCTCCACTATTCTGTGGGAAGGACATTGGCACAGCTGATCGGAGGTCAGTGGTCATAGCCAGTCCTTGCAGCTGATTGGCCTGGTTAAATCCCTCCCATTGTCCTGCCAACACCAACCAAGACTCAACTACAAGAGGAGGGTATGAGGAGGGTGTACATAGCCCACATAGAGGGAACACCTCAATGGCCCATCTTGAGTGAAAGGGGAAGCTGTGCCACTACCCTACATAATACCTATTACCCCAAACTCTATCTAATACATAGAAATATCAAGAGGCTCCTAAAATGAGGAGACAAAACATCCCAAATGTAAGAACAGAACAAAACTCCAGAATAAGAACTAAACAAAAGGGAGACAAGCAATCTACTAGATGTAGAATTCAAAACACTGATTATAAGTATGCTCAAGGCACTTAATGAAAACATCAACAGCATAAAAAAGGACCAATCAGAAACGAAGGATATACAAACTGAAAGGAATAATTTACAGAAAATCAACAGTAGAGCAAATGAAGCCAAAAATCAAATCAGTAATTTGGAATGTTAGGAAGCAAAAAACACCAAATCAGAACAGTAAAAAAAAAAAACTGAAAAAATAGGGTAGCATAAGAAGTCTCTGGGACAACTTCAAGAGTACCAATATTCACATGGGAGGGCAGGAAAGGGAAGAGAGAGAGCAAGAAATTGAAAACCTATTCGAAAAAACAATGACAGAAATCTTCCCCAACTTGAAGAAGGAAATACACATGCAAGTCCAGGAAGCACCAGGAGTCCCAAACAAGATGAACCCACAGAGTCCCACCCCAAGACACATCATAATTAAAATGCAAAAGTTTAAAAGCAGTAAGAGAAAAGCAGTTAGTTACCTAACAGGGGGCTCACATAAGACTGTCATTTGATTTCTCAAGAGAAGCTTTGCAGGCCAGCATGGATTGGCAAGAAATACTCAAAGTGATGAAAAGCAAAGACCTACAGCCAAGCAAAGCCCCACCCAGCAAAGCTATAATTTAGCACTAGCCATGTGGCCCAGTTGATTGGAACCTCATTCTGTGCACCAAATAGTTGCAGGTTTGATTCCTGGTCAGGGCACATACTTAGGTTGAGTTTGATCCTGGTCAGGGTATGAATGGGAGACAACCAATCAATATTTCTCTCTCACATCAATGTTTCTCTCAAATCAATAAATGTGAAGAATTAGTAAATGTCCTCCAGTGAGCATTAAAAAAATTAACTAATATTTACCATATTCCACATTCACAGAACAATGTGATTCATCATATCAATAATACCAAGGATAGAAATCATATGATTATCTCAATAGATGAAGAAAAACCATTAGACAAAATCAATAATCCATTTATGGTAAAAATTCTTACAGTAGGTATAGAAGAACTTACCTCAGCTTGATAAAGACTATAAATGACAAGCCCACAGCTAACATCATACTACATGGTGAAAAGCTCAAAGTTTTTCCTCTAAGATCAAGAACAATTCAAAGATGCCCACTTTCACTGTTGCTGTTCAATATAGTAATGGAAGTCAGAGCTACAGGAATCACAATAAAAAGAATAAAGGGCACTCAAATCAGGAACCAAGAAGTAAAACTCAGTATTTGCAGATGACATACTATCCACAGAAAAAACCTAAAGAATCTACCAAAAGTTAATAGAGTTAATAGAAATTCAGTAAAGTAGCAGAATACAAAGTTAATATACAAAAACCCACCGCATTCCTATACACTAATAATGAACAATCAGAAGGAGGAATTAAAAAAACAATCCTATCTACAATTGCATTAAAAAGAATAAAATACCACCCTGACTGGTGTGGCTTGATGGGTTGGGCATCGCGCGGCAAACTGAAAGGTCGCTGGTATGATTCCTGGTCAGGGCACATGCCTGGGTTGCAGGGAAGTTTCCTGGTGGGGGGTGTGTGAATAGTAAATGACCAGATTGAACTGATCAATATTTCTCTCACACATTGATGTTTCTTTTCCTCTCTCCCTGTCTACCCCTCTCTCTAAAAACAAATAAAATCTTTAAAAAAATATTTTAAAACAAAATACATAGGGATAAATTTAACCAAGAAGTTGAAAGATCTATACTCTGAACACTGTCAGACATTGAAGAAAAAATGGAAGAGGACACAAATGGAAGGATATATTGTGCTCTTGGTTTGGAAGGACTATATCATTAAAATGACCATACTGCCAAAGCAACCTGTAAATTCAATGTAAACCCTAGCAAAATACCAGTGCCATTCTTCTCAGAACTAGAACAAATAATCCTAAAATTTATGTGGAACCATAACAGCTACAAATATCCAAAACAATTTTTATTTTTGTGTACACAGAAAAAGCCAGCTATAAAATTAGGCAGAACAAGCCCCGGCCAGATAACTGAGTTGGTCAGAGCATCATCCCAATATGCCAAGGTTGTGGGTTTGATCCCCAGTCAGGACCCATACAAGCCCTACTGATGAATGCATAAATAAGCTGAACAGCAAAAATCAATGTTTCTCTCTCATTTCTCTCACTCTAAAATCAACAATTAAATTTTTTTTTAAATTAGAATGAAGGGAAAGTAATTAAATTGATCTCTCAATGCTTCAAATACAGGGTTTAGATTAATGGATCAACATATGATGTTGTTTAGGAGGCCACCCAATTCTTGGAAGTATTAAAAATAGCTGTTCTTATTTTTATTTTACTTATTGAATTAGAGAGAGAGAGGGAGGGAGAGAGAGAGAGAGAGAGAGAGAGAGAGAGAGAGAGAGAGAGAGAGAGAGAGAGAGGGAGAGAGAAACATCAGTTTGCAGTTCCAGTTATTCATGCATTCATTGGTTACTTATTGTATGTGCCCTGACTGGAGATTGAACCACAACATTGGCACAACCGGATGATGCTCTATCCTACTGAGCACCTGGCCAGGGCTGGCATACAACTTCTTTTGTAAAAGGTTTATCTTTGCCTTAAGCACCCCCTGTCCATTGCTTCTGTACATCTAGGTTAATAACACACCTTTGAAGTGTCTCTTTTTCAGACCCCTATGAAGTATAACCACCTTCAGGAGAGCACATAATCTTAACTATCCTGTAATCCAATTGTTGCCTTGCTTTCTCTCACCTTCAGGTAATCTTTCATACCTTTCCTCCTTTATTCCAAATGCATAAAAGAAACTGCAAAACTCATCCTCCAGAGAATTTAAGGTCTTGCTCCCTAGCAATGTCATCAGTTTGGCTAAAATAAAGTCTTATAAAAAAATTCTCTACAGGTTTGGGTGTTTCTTATATCAACAAGAATGACCAATTTATGAATTATGATTTTACACTAACAAGAATAACCAATTTAAGGATTATGAAACCTGGAACTATGACCTGTCAATGTCAAAGATTATGCAAAAATGTCACGCCACACCAAGGATCAATATGGCTGCAGATTGGTAGCTGAGAGTGACAGTAATATGTTATTTTTTTGTACCTGCTAAAAGTCCAAAATACCAAACCTAGATTTAATACCTGATCTAACTGTAGCTTCAACCTCTCCCAGAAACATAATCTTTATTACCTAGTATGGAATTTTCTGGTCAAGGTCCATAAGGTAATCTATCACATAGGCCCTCTCCATCTGCCATAGAAAGAGGAATTTTACATAACAGAATCCCTTTCCCTTCTTTTCTCTCAAAGAAAAGATGTCCCAGATGAAAAATAATCCTTTATTTTCTTTTCTTAATAGTTCCCTTGCCCCACCCTTTGTATAGAATCCTTCCATTTGGTACAGCTCCTTGAAGATCCTGATTCACAAATCATTTGATAAAGCCAATTAAAACTTCACATTTCATTGGTTGAACTGCTTTCTTAACAGTGTCCACAGTGACAGCTGTATTAAGGTGGCAAAAGCTAACACTTTAAAGTACTTAGGGGAACTGTGCTAGATGTGTTACATGCATTATCTCAGGGGTCAGTAAGCTCTTTCTATAAACGGGTCTCAGTAAATATGTTTCCCAGTTTAGTTGGCCACAGAGTCTCTCTCTTAATTACTCAATTCTGCCTTACAGAGTGAAAGTAGCCATAGGAGGAGGGACCCTCAAAAACCAGAATGATCTTCTGGAGGTCAGGCCCTTGTAGTACAGACTTCCCCTGCTAGGTGAGTGTTCTAGGAACCCATCTGTGTCAGTGTTCCTGCTGGTGTTATTGTGAGAGGGTGTATTCAGCTTCCGTGAATTTTTTTTCTTTTGAAGAGTCTTTCAACGCATTTGTCATTTCATGATGAGTGACCTACCCACACCGCACTGAGTGTTCAGCAGTTTTTGACCAAAAAGGGCATAACCCCTGTGCCTCACCCTCCCTACTTACCTGATCTGCCACCAAGAGACTTTTTTGTTGTTTCCCTGCATGAAAAAAGTCTTCAAAAGGAAACATTTTGGCAACGTGGAAGAGGTGAAATGAAAAACAGCAGAAGCACTGAAGAGCATCAAAACTGATGAGCTCAAAAACTGTTCTGAGAGGTGGAAAAAAAGTCTCCATAGGTGTATTCCATCTAATGGAGAATACTTTGAAGGTGACACAAGTTTAAACATGTGAGAATAAATACACAATTTTTTATAAATAAATTCCAGGTTTTTTTAGGGTCTCCTCTCAAAAGTGAATAAGCTTGGTGCCTTCAATGAAACTTAGTTTATGGTCACTGAAATGTGAATTTCATATACTTTTTACATAACACAAATTGTTAAATTAAAAGTATTTTTAAAAACCATAAGAGAAATGGAAATCATTCTTAGCTCATAGGCCGTAGAAACACAGAAAGCTAATTGAATTTCACCCTGGGCTGTCTCCTGTATTATCTCATTGGGTTAGTGGTGGTTTCCATCTAAATGATCCGATATACGGTGATTATACTGTCAAGTGAGTGGGAAAGAGTTTTTTCACTCCTCTTGCCCCCCACCCTGCTATCAATCACTTTCTTCCACACTGCTGGCACTGAGACTAAATAGGAGATTTGCTTCGTTGTTCTTCAAGTCCCTGTATATCTAGAATCTAGACAAACCACGTTAAGAACTGGTATCTACTACAAGGATTTACAACAGATCTTGAGGGTTTTCTTTTCTTTCACTTTTTTTTGTTGTTGTTGTTGTTTGTTTCAAGGGCTTGAGTTGGACTTGTGTGACAGACCTGGAGTTTTAGAGATCAAGCTGCCTGGGAAACGGCTAAGCTGTAAAGCTGGTTGCAGTAATTCGGGGAAGAGACTCTGGCGATGTCACTGGGCTGGCAGAACGAGGGGACTAAGAAGAATAGACAGTTGGAATGTATTTAGGATCAGGTACTTGCTTGGATGAGGGCTGATTACATTGTTCTGTTATCTGTCTCACATGAGAGAAGAGATTGATAACACTTTGAAATAACTGAATAATTTTTAAGGTGCTACCTAAATTCGACTGGGATAATACTTGATTTACTGATTCCCTTACCCCAACGTATAAAGGTGAGTTGAAAATGATTTTTCTGAGGGGGAGAAATAGTTTGCATTCCCACACACCAAAGCCGGGAATCAAGCCTGGAAACATTGTCTCCCAATTTCCAGACCTTTTCCAGAAGTTCACCTGGCTCTATCGACTTCCCACGGTTTCTCCGCGGCCACCAGCAGCCCCCTAGACCGCCCGCAACAGTTTCCCTCCTTCTAGTCACGCTACCACCACCGCAATCCCCCGCCTACTCAGATAGCTCCGCCTCCTTCAGCTCCAAGGTCCAATTCCTTCCCTCCTTTTGTCGCTATTCCCTAGCCCCGCCCCTATGGCTGTCTTCGATTGGCTAACATGACAGTACCGCCGCAGGATGCCCCAGAACCCAGTTATGATTGGCTAAAGAATAGCCGGACCTCTCGTGATTGGCTGAAAAGAGAAGGCAGCAAGTGTGACTGCGCACCGGGTGCGGGGGCACCGCTTTGTTGCCTGAGGGGGGTGACGGTGGAAGTTCGGGGGGGTCAGAGGCTACCGCTTGTCAGGACCCCCGGTCACCGTTGTTGCCGTCACGTCGCCCCATAGTCTTCAGCTTAGGAGCCACACCCACAAGCAGCCATGAGCGGCGGCGTGTACGGAGGAGGTGAGTGAGCGCGCTGTTTTCAGTGTGGGGTTTGTACCCGCCGCCCCTTGCCCTCCTCACCCGCCCCTCGGCTGCGGCCCCTTCCGGTCTCCCGGTCACTGGACTCCCGCCGCCCCGCCCGTCCCCGCCCCGCGCTCTGTGGGCCCCTGGCGTCCACCCGGCGTGCTGAGCGCCTCCTGCTCCCTGAGTCGCCGCCGCCTGCGGCCCCTTCCAGCGTCGGCCCTAGAAGAGCGCGTTTGGGGAATGCGCGCCGGTCCCGCGGCCGGGAGTGAAGCTCCATCCGTCCCCGCCTCAGTGAGCAGCCGCAGGGTCGCCTCTCTCCAGTGTCTCCATACCTCGGCTGATCGGGGTGTGCGCGCGAGTTTAAACTTGGGAGTGCCCTGCGGTTTGCGAGCATAGACGCGGGATTTCCGCAGCATCGGGTAGATGGCTCAGCGAGCGCGGGAGGTTGGTGGGATGGCCAGCGTGGCGGCCACTCAGGACCCGCACTCCCCTCCGCCCTCAGCGCTCGCGCTGCCGCGCGCCCTTCAGCAGCTCCTGCCTGTTGGTGGACCGTGGATTCTCCAAGTTACTCCTGCGTGGCAATGCTCGGGATTGATTTCGGAACGCCTGTGATTTACGGACGCTTTGCTTGGCTAGGCTGTGGTATGGAGGAAAGAAACTGGAGACAGCGAGTTCCAGGGACCTGAGCAGTAACAGCAGCCTCACCGTTCCTGGGGCGCTTTGGCCTTGGGCGGGTGACTTCACTTTAACCAGCTTCAGGCTCCAGGGTTGTGAAGTGGTAGTTCCTAGTGTGGGGGTTCAGAAGCAGACTCCCGAAGACGTGGCTCAGTAGTATGCGGCTTATTTCGAGCTAATGTCAGTTTTAGCTTCAGGCTCAAGAGAAACTTGTTCCCCCTCCCTTTAACTACCCAGAAGAACTGGAATTAGGGACCTTGGCCATAACAAGAGACTATCAGCAATCATCTTTTTTTGACCCACCTTTTTGGCACAGCAAACTTTTTTTTTCAGGAGAGGTGACCAAAAGAAACCCAGAATTATCTTCTGGAGGGTGGGCCCTTGTGCTATGGGACCCCCCCCCCACCACCACCCTCAATCATTATCAGTATACCAGCTGGCGTTGTTGTGAGAGGCTGCATTTGGCTTCAGTGACTTTTTTTTTTTTTTTGACTCACCGCATTTGCCCATTTCATGATGGGTGATTTGGGAGAGCACCTGCCCACACCACGCTGGGTGTTCAGTTTTTGACCAAAAACAGCATGATGCCTGTGTCCCACCCTTCCTATTCACCTGATCTGGCCTTAAAAGACTTTTTTGTGTCTTTCCCCCCCATGAAAAAAAAGTCCCCAAAGGGAAACGTTTTGCCTCGTGGAAGAGGTGAAACAAAAAACAGCACAAACACTTCAAGGCATCAAAATCAACAAGTTCAAAATTGTTTTGAGCAGTAGAAAAAAGTCACCATTAGGTGTAGTACATCAAATGGAGGGTACTTGGAAGGTGACTGAAGTTTAAACATGTAAGAATAAATATACATTTTTTAAAAATTCTCAGTTTTTAGGGTTCTCCCTCATACTAAACACCTGCTCTTGCTATCATCCTGCAGTGACCCTTCCAAGTCCCCCGAGGTGCATTATCTCAGCCCTAGCTCAGAATGTCTTACAGACCTAGATACACCTTTCTATCTCTGAACCCCTGGTGCATGTGGGGGGTCTCTGACTCTTGTGTCTGCAAGGTTCCTATACATATCTATGTATTAAACTATTAAAATTTCTCCTGCTAATCTGTGTCCTGTCTACTTGGTTATTAGACCACCAAAAGAACTGTTAGGGTGAGGGAAAGTTTGTTCCTCCCCACACTGGCCACTGGGGTGGTTGTGATGATTAAATGAGATAATGCTGCACTTGCTCTCAAAGTGTGGTCCATGGAGCAACAGTTCAGCATCCCCTGCCAGCTTTTTAGGGTTGCAGACTGCCAGGCCCCATTGTAAATCTACTGAGTCAGAGCCTTTGTTTTTGCAAGAGACCTAGAGGGAACACAGGTGTGTATGATTCTTGTTTTGTGTTTCTGTTTGATGAGTTGGAGAACAAGGAGCCAGAACCAAAGTGTTGTTCTTTTTCATTGTGTCTAGTAAGGTTGCTGTCTCTGAAGAGGATGGCATTTTATTGGCAGGGGATAAAAATAATGTTTTCAAAGTTGCTTAGGTTTTTGAGAGCAGCTCGAGTCTCTTTTGAGGTGATAGGCTGACCTTCACCCCTCCTTCCCTATTTCATTCTTGGTTCTGATCTCTCAGATGTGAATGTCAGTAGTCTCCCATTTTACTGTGGAGAAAGCCAAGTGGATCTTCATGATTTACCTCTGCCCTGTCTGAAGATGCAGTCCTGACAGGGAACCGGATCTGTGTGCCTTTGTGTCCTGGAGGCTGTTGACTATTTTGACCTTCAGGTTCACTAATCCAAGGACCTAGAGGCTGTTCATAGAGTATTTCCTTACAAGGAATCAATTAATTCCTCACTACCATGGAGTAAGGTAGAAATGGATACGGTAATTCCCGCAGATAACATATATTGAGTGTACATTGTATACCAAGACCTGCTCCAGATGCTTCTCATTCATTGCATTTAATACCTTCACTACCTCATTCGTTAACAACCATAGGAGTTGGTACTACTGTCCCCATTTTACTGAAGAAAATGAGATACAAAAAAGCTTAAGTAACCAGCCCAGAGTTACATAACTTCCTAGTGAATGGGGAGCAAGAATCTCTGGGATGAGGAAAAGGCATTTCAGTAAAAACCTTTACTATTCAAAAAAGAGGTTTTGATTGTTTTTCTATAAATCATTTTTCAAACATATAACTACATATTCACGTATGGTTTAGATATTCAGAATAAACATCTTGTTTTTCATTTGCTATGTTTTCATTTCACTTTTTAATAAGCCTATTTCACATAAAAAGTATTTTAAAAACTCACAAAATTAAGTATATATGGTTTTTTGTTTGAGCTACATAGTGGGTCACATTTTCCAAAAGGTCTGCTATGAAAAGCAACCAAACCTCCCACCTAAATTTTTTGTAATTGACTTAGTAGAGTGTATTTTTAACTTGTGCTTATAAAAAAAGATCTTTGTAACTTACATTTTAAGTCATGACTGTCTTTTTTTCAGTTATAACTTCTGCCCAGGTTAGACTTTGATCTTTAGCTTTAGGCACAATGCATAATTTATCCAGATTTCTATACTTTAACTGGTTTCTGGGCCTACTCATTGTTCTTGCAGTCATCTGTAATGGTATTTGCTCTACTTAAAATTTCTTAGCATAATAAAAATAAACAGTATACTACCAGCCCAAATTGTTAGTTTCATCATTTTTGCACTCCTAAATCTTTATCCTTTAAACTTTCTCAAAATCATCTTCCTGCCCAGTGAGTTGGGTCACCCTTGTATGTGTGTGTGTACACACACACACACACACACACACACACACCCCGCCTCTCAACCTCCACTTAAAGTCATTCTGTATCCTTGTGGAATGTTTTAAGACCAGAAGATTGCCATCATTGCTTTGTGCTTTGCCAGAGAAATCATCTTTCTTAAACTCAGAAGCCATTTACTGTGAGGAAAAGCATAAAAATCTTTAAAAACATGGTAACAGAAGCATTTTTAGTGGAAAAGGGATCAAACCCTTGAGGGTTTTTAACCATTAGAATCCATCCTAGTTCTTAAATATCCAGACTTCCGAGGTTATGCTTTTAAGCCCTCTCCTTCCCTTTGCCACCCTCCTATTTCAGATTCCTTGGTGCTTGATGTTTACAAAACAAGGTACAGGAAAAATGGAAAACTGAGCAGGCGTAAAATTCAAAGAATCAAACATCTTACTCAAAATTCAACAATGTTCAGGATACCATACTAATTAAAAGAAAAAATCCCTGATGTGTTAGATTTTTTGTTTTAACAAGAAAAAAAAATGAATGCTTGCTATGTGCCTCTGACTTTAAAAAGCTGTCAGTGTATGCCCTGGCTGGTGTGGCTCAGTGGATTGAGTCCCAGCTTGTGAACAAAAGGGTTGCTGGTTCTATTCCCACTCAGGGCATGTGCCTGGGTTGCAGGCCAGGTTTCCAGTTGGGGTCATGCCAGAGGCAACCACACATTGATGTTTCTCTCCTTCTCTCTCTCTCTCTCTCTCTCTCTCTAAAAATAAATAAATAAAATATTTTTTAAAAAGCTGTCAGTCTTGTAGGTGAGTTGGTCAAGTAAATAGACACCATATTTAATTTATTTTTTTTGCACATTTTTCACCATACTTGAAGAGTGGAATATTTCTTAATATTGATGGTGTGGCAGAGTTTAATTGGCAGCATGTTTTTTTCTTAGTGGTGCATGAAATAGTGGTGCATCTTAGAGTTTCTAGCATCTTAAATTGGTAAGAAAAGGTAACTCATTCAGTGAAGTATGTTCACTAATGACAATATATAGAAGGTACAAAGGTAACAGACAAACTTATCAGCTCAGTGTTGGGTAGTCAGGGAACTTTATAAGAAAGGTTATGTGGATGAGGGAAGAGGAGAGGAGAGGGACAGCATATGCGAAGGTTAGCTGAGTGAGATTACATGGTGTCTTTAGGGACTACATATTAGCAATTATGCTAGTGTGTGAGGTGGGAGGTGGGACTGCCATTATACTAGGCCTTGAATATCAACTGGGTAGACTGATTTGAATTTTATCTTGTAGATGAGGAGAAGCTACTGAATGAGTTTCCCTTTCTCATCGAAGGATTTTTGTTCAGAGTTACAATTTTGAAAGATCAGAGTGTAGCAATGGAAGATTGAGAAGGTAAAGAGATAGAGCATAATACCTGTGCTGAACTGTAGTAATTTCCTGCTGCAATAAGAGCTTGACTCAAAGCAGGGGCAATGGTATTAACAAGGAAGGGATTTGAGAAGTATTTAACAAATATTTGGCAGAAATTGACAAAAGGTAAAAAATATGAAAGTGTTTATGATTCTGAAAAAATTCAGAGGCTTTTGTGATAAGCAGTGCTTCTATTAGGTTAGGATGGAGAAGAAAATGCTTCAGATATGTTGAATTTGAGGTATCCATGGGACATCAGGTGGAATTGATGTTGATGTGCAGTAAGAAGCTCAAGACATGGATCTATATGAAGGCGAAGACTTGAAAGAGAGATCTGATATCGGAATGATTAGTATTTAGGTAGAAGTTGAGGCTGTAGGAATGGAACAGATTACCTAAGAAAGGGTAAATTAAGGAAAGGGCTCCTAACCTGGGTCCCTGGCATTCCCTAGGATTCCATGGATAGAATTAAATTTTACCGTAATTGGTTTATTTTATAATCTATTTTGAAACAGTCTAAGAAGGGATTCATAAGTTTCCTAAACTGTCTGTATTGGTTTGCTAGGGATGCCATAACAAAGTACCAAAGACTGAGTGACTTAATAGAAAATAATTTTGTTACAGTTCTGGAGGCTAGGAATCTGAGGTCACGCTGTCTACAGGATTACAGTTTGGAAGTCTTTTTTCTTGACTTAAATGGTTGTCTCTTTCCTGTTGCAAATGGTCTTTCCTCTGTAATTTCTATGTCCTAATATCCTCTTCATGTAAGGATGGACACCAGTCATAAGGATTAGAGCCCACTCTAATGATACTATTTTAATTTAATCACACCTTGAAAGACCTTATATCCAATAATAGTCACATTCTGAGGTACCAGGGATTAAGACTTCATTGTATGAATTTTAGGGGGAACAAATCAGTCTAGAACATTGTCAAAGGGGTCCATGACACAGAAAATGTAAAGAGACCTGTTGCAGAGCAAAAGATTGATTCTTGAGAAAAGGAGTTTAAATTTTTGGTTAAGCAGGCTATTAATTAATATATTTAGGATATTTCTTTACCAGGCATTCTGGTTAATCAGAATGCTAAAGTTTACTAATACATGTTTGTTGGTAAACTATAATTACTATTTTTACTTGACTTTCTGTGCTATGGTGAAAACAAATGCAGTGTTCTGCTTTTGTAGGCTCTACTTTAAGACAAAGTTGTTGTGACTGGAGAATTATATAGAGAAAGTTAATTACATTGGGGGATATAGCAATTTCCTTTCAAATTAAATAAAAGTAGTTCAGTATTTTAAAATGAAAATGAGATCATTATTCTGTAAAGATACCATCCCTAAACAGTGAATATCTTGCCCTCACTGGTGTGGTTCAGTGGATTGAGTGCTGGCCTGCTAACCAAAAGGTTGATGGTTCAATTCCCAGTTGGGGCCCATGCCTGGGTCGTGGGTCAGGTCCTCAGTTGGGAGCCTGTGAGAGGCAACCAATCAATATTATCTCATGCACATTGATGTTTCTCTTCCTCTCTCCCTCCCTTCTTCTCTCTCTAAAAATAAATAAGTAAAATCTGAAAAAAAATAAAAAAATAAACAGTTGAGTATCTAAAGTGTACTAATTGATTTTCTTCATTCTAAATTTTATTTAAAATGTTTTGGTGCTTGAACAACAATAAAAATAAAAAAAAATTTGAAATAGCTCAACATACTAAAACTTAAATATATGTAAGTTTGTGATACATACTTATTACTTAGATTAAATAGATGTAACTTTTGTCACATTTGCCTCACATATTTTTTAAAGGCTTTATTTTTTATAGAATAGAAGACCTCTTTTTAATCTTTTTATTTTTATTATCTATCTATCTATCTATTTATTTATTTATTTTAGAGTGAGAGGAAGGGAGGGAGAAAAGAGGGAGAAAAGAGGGAGAGAAACATCAATGTGTGGTTGCTGCTCACGTGGCCCGCACTGGGGACCTGGCCTACAACCGAGGCATGTACCCTGACTGGGAATCGAACTGGCGACCCTTTGGTTCAAAGCCTGTCCTCAGTCCACTGAGATATACCAGGCAGGGCTGCCTCAGATATTTTAAGAAATAAAATGTTATTGGTATAGATCCTCCTCTCTTTCTCCTAGAACTGTGTAACATTCACAGACCCCATGCATCATGTTTTTATACTTTTACTAAGTGTGTACATATCCATAGTGAATTAAATAGTATAATGTGTGTGTGTGTATATATATATACATATATTAACTAACTTTTTAAAATTATTCTTTTGAGACTTTTCCATGTTGACACATGTAGGTCTAGATCACTCCTTTAACTGGTATATAGTATTTCAATATATGAATACACTGTATTTTATGTTTCCCTGCTGAGAGACCACTAGATAATTTCTGTCTTTTCCCATGGCAAACAGTGTGACAATACTAGTTATCATAGCACCTACCACTTACAGTGCTTGTTATGTGCAGGTACTGTTCTAAGTACTTGCATACATTAAAACATTTAATACATTTAATCATTATACCATCCTGTGAGATGGGAACCTGAGGCAGAAAGGTTAGTAAATCACCCACAGTCACATACCTAGTGACCATTATGATTAGTATACTTTTATAATCTATGTTGCTTTTAGAGCTGCTTTCTAGAAGATAATGTGTAATTTCTATCTATGGACAGTTTCAATTTTAGTGATGAGTAAATTGCCCATAGTGGTTATTCCAGTTTACAGTTTTTACTAGCAGATATATAAAAGCTCTTCTTTCTCTACATTTTTGACAACACATGGTCTTATCAGACTTATCAATTTTTGCAGATTTATTGGGGGTAAATAGTATTTCTCTATTATTTTTAATGATTGAACAAATTCCTTCTTTAAAAATATCTGCCTGGAAAATCCAAATGCTTTGTTTTAGGAACCATACTGTTTGGGCTGAAGTACTTGTAAACTATAATTAGAGGCTGTACTTTGAATTTAACTACCTTTTCCTCTCAGCATTAAACGGTCTTTCATAAAAATCTTTTTTTTTTCCTAAAAAAATCTTTAAAATGTATAAACTTTGATACCTTCTTTTTAATGATTTTTCCTTGGCTTGCATTAATATACCATAAATTCTTATTCTTCAGGTACCTTGCTTAGGACTTTGCTGAGTTTATTCTCTAATTGGATGGAATATTATTTCCCCGATGTATGAAAACATTACACCAAAGCATACTAGATATCTTCCCTTTGCCCCTCTAGATCCACCCACCACACATTTCCACCCTGTCTGTGCCCTTGAACACAGACCCATGTAGATTAAATCAGTGGGCTCTCTTGACCTCTGCTGTGGCCAATGGTAGGGTACCCATACTTCCTGCTTTGTGACTCTTGTCCTGGTACAATTATTAATGCGGACCCCTTTCACATTCAGAAGTAGCCCAATTTGGATGAGAAATTATGAGAACACCCCAGTCCATGGGGAGAGGAAGTAGAGAGGTTGGCATGTTTATTAGCCTTGTTCCTTTTTCTAGGAGCCAGCCACCCCTTCAGTGAAGGTCACAGCTCCTGTCAGGTAGCCCTCCAAACACACAACTCTCTGGGTTCTGGACTAAGTTTTTTCTCCATTTCTTCAATTCAAAGAGTGCTGACAGATCTCTGACATTATAAGTCCTAGGGTACCATACTGTTTTTCTTATTTTCCTGTATTGTGCCCTGTATCTTTCTAAATAGTCCCTTAAGTGAACTCTCCTCAAATTACCCAATTTTAGTTTAGCATCTCTTTCCTGATTGAACTTCTGATATATTGTGTATGACATTATGTTTTATTTCTTTTATTTTTTAAGATTTTATTTATTTTTTTAAAGAGAGGGTAAGGGTGGGAGAAAGAGGGAGAGAAACATTAATGTGAGGTTGCCTCTCGAGTGTCCCCAACTGGGGACCTGGCCAGCAACCCAAGCATGTGCCCTGACTGGGAATCGAACCAGTGATCCTTTAGTTCCCAGGCCGGTGCTCAATCCACTGAACCACACCAGCCAGGGCTGACATTATATTTTAATTAAATGAATCTTTAGTTTAAGGTGCATTTAAAATAAAGCTAGGTTCAAGGTAGTAATAGTATGAATGCAATGCCTGGTTTAATATTTATAGAGCTTTCATGTACATTCTCATTTTGAGCATGTTCATTTTGAGCATATTAAGTACTTTTAAAATTTCCATATGCTACTTGTAAGTTTTTAATATTAATTCTTTTCTCATCTCTTCAGATGAAGTTGGAGCCCTTGTTTTTGACATTGGATCCTATACTGTGAGAGCTGGTTATGCTGGTGAGGACTGTCCCAAGGTAAGTGTAATGTTAGAGTTAATGGGCTATGTAAGGGCCATTCATGTAGAATTAAATTCCTGCAGAAATACCGGCTCAAATATGATAAAAGACATTAGTTTGGGGAGAAAATGAGTCCTTGATAAAAGCAGGTAACACTAGTGTGTCATGTTTTTGACTCTTACAGGTGGATTTCCCCACCGCTATTGGCATGGTATTAGAGAGAGATGATGGAAGCACGTTGATGGAAATAGATGGTGATAAAGGCAAACAAGGCGGTCCCACCTATTACATAGATACTAATGCCCTGCGTGTTCCCAGGGAGAATATGGAGGCCATTTCACCACTGAAAAACGGGATGGGTATGGTTTTGTTTTCCTACGTAATTGATTATAAACACAGGGTATACTGGGTGCATGTGTTAGATGTAAAGTAACAGCTTCCTGTGAGTTGAACATCAGTAATTTTTTTCATTCTACAAACTGATGCATCAGATACTGAGAATACAAAGATGCATAAAACACGTTTCTTTTCCTGAAGAAACTCATAGGTAGGAGGCATAGATGTATATATACAAAAATGTTGGGTAAGTGCTATGTAGCTATGTCTGATAATCAGCAGGATTAGGGAGGAATGGCATTCATTCTGTCATTGGGCGTCAGTGATGGTTTTCACAAAGGAGGGAAGTTTTGTACTGAATCTTGATCAATGAATAAGAATTGGCCAGACCGACAAGAACAGGTACAGCAGAGCAGCCAGCATGTGTGAAGAGATGGAGTTGTGGAAGGAACTTACATGTTTAGAAATGTCATCAATTGTTGTACATATGGCTGCAACATTGAGTGCCTTATGGCCAGATGCAAGGAAGGTAGGCCGAGAGCAATCATAAAAGGACTCATAACCCATGCCAGGGGTGTATTAAGCTGGTAATAAGGGTAACCCCAAAGGAATTTAAACAGAGAGGTGTGAAATGTTCATGTTTGCCAGCTGGAAAAATCATTCTAAGAGCAATATGTAGTCTAGACTGGAGGAAGGTACTATAGATAAGAGGTTTAGTTAAAAGAGTTAGGAGTTCAGTGGAGAAATGAGTATTTAAATCGTAACACTGATGGTGGTGATCCTGAGGTGGCTTTCAGAGATAATCCAGAAGCAGTAGGTTTTTAAAGTGATTGATTGGATTGGTGAAAACAAGGATTGGGAAAGTTTCTTAGAGTTTTTATTGGGATGACTGAGTTAAGAGTGCCATGCATTGAGGTAGGAATAGAAGGCATAAAACAAGTTCTGTGGTCTTAAAAGCTAAGTGAGTTGCTAATATCTAAGTTGCTAATACCTGAAATTCAGTTATTGACTGGAAGGACTACAGGACTCAGTGTGTAGTTGTACTGAAGGCTCTGATTGTTGCACTGAAATGATACAAACAAAATCAGTAAGGGGAAAAAGGGGACATGGAGTGTAGTCCAGAGGAAAGCAGTACAAACTTCTAGGAGTCTTCACATGGTGCCGTCATACAGGATGTGCTTAATTTCTCCAGCACCGAGTTATAACCACATGTGTGTTATTCACTAGGGGAGCTCATTAGACATTTAGTCCCCAAGGTTTTTACTAGAGGTTGATTATGTAGGTACCCTGTGCCTTCCAAAAGCCCAGACACCCAAAAGGAAAGAAGGTGTTCATCATAAGCCACATTCTTTGTACAAACGGTTTAGGCACAATGAGCTACTCTTATCACGTAGAGAGTTTTATGTCAGTGCAGGGAACTGTTCACCAGTCAAGTCCCCAGACTGCTACAAAGGGTCAACCTTGTAGCAGGTCTTTCTCAGTACTGCTGTGTTAACTCTTTCTGCACAGCAAGTAAATGAATTTGTTGAGTTCAGGGTGTTTGAACAAAGGTGCTGATGTATATCGTAAGCAGGTGAGAAAGTTTTTAAGACATGAAACTGCATTATATTACTCAGAAAGAGTTTGTAATAAGAGAACAGGATTGAAGATGGGGCTCCTTGTGAAAAGTTGTTCTGTATTTAATGAGTAGAGAAGGATAGGTGCCCATGAAGGTGAATGTGAGGGAACTTAGGGATGTAGGAGAAAAATTCAGGAGGACAAGAAAACTCCTGGACAACTTAGAAGTCCAGTGATTCTCATTGTTCACAGCTGTGACATTCAGATGTACACTAAGAAGGGGAGAAAGAAATGAGAACAACTAACAAAGTCTGCTGACTAAAAAATATATCCTGCTAGGCCTGTGGATATATGTTGTATAAGTAATGACATTCCTTCTTTGCACTGTGGCAGAAAAAGTTTGTAAACTCTTGAGTAGTCAATTTAGAGAGGTCAAGCAAAATTGCAAATACGAAGCATTCACTGGATTTGCACATTAAAAGGTCAGAAGTAATTTAAGCTAACAGTTTTTTTTAAAGATTTTTTAAAAATTTATTTTTAGAGAGGGAAAGGAGGGAGAAAGAAACATCAATGTGCGGTTGGTAGGGGCCATGGCCTGCAACCCAGGCATGTGCCCTGACTGGGAATCAAACCTGCGACACTTTGGTTTGCAGCCCGTGCTCAATCCACTGAGCTACGCCAGCCAGGGCTTAAGCTAACAGTTTTAATGGAATGTTTAGGTGGAAGTAAAATTGGAGACATATTCTATTATTATCTGAATTTTTTTATGTCCTTAATTTTATTTATTCAAATAGACTATAAGTTTTTTTAAAAAATGTTATTAATTATGCTGTTAAAGATGTCCCTGTTTCCCCCCCTTGCCCCCCTCTGCCCAGCACTCCCATTCCCTCCAGCAGTCCCCCTAGTTTATGTCTGTGGGTCATGCATGTAAGTTCTTCAGCTTCTCCATTTTCTATACTATTTTTAACATCTTCCTGTCTATTTTATACCTACCAATTATGCTTCTTAATGCCTGCACTTTTTCCCCCATTCTCCTCCTTCCCCTTCTCAGCTGGTAACCCTCCAAATGATCTCCATATCTATGATTCTATTACTTTCTGTTAGTTTGGGGTTTTTTTTAGATTCAGTTGTTGATAGTTGAAAACTTGTTGCCATTTTAATGTTCATAGTTTTGATCTTCTTTTTCTTAAATAGGTCCCTTTAACATTTCATGTAATAATATTTCATAATAACAGTATGGTGATGATGAACTCCTTTAGCTTTTCCTTGTCTGGGAGGCACTGTATATGCCCTTCCGTTCTAAGTGTTAGCTTCGCTGGGTAGAGTAATCTAAGTTGTAGGTCCTTGCTTTTCATCACTTTGAATATTTCTTGCTAGTCCTTTCTTGCCTGCAAAGTTTCTTTTGAGAAATCAGCTGATAGTCTTATGGGAACTCTTTTGTAGGTATCTCTCTCCTTTTCTCTTGCTGCTTTTAAGATTCTCTCTTTATCTTTAACCTTTGACATTTTAAGTATGATGTGTTTTGGTGTAGTCCTCTTTGTGTCTATCTTATTTGGGATTGTCTGTGCTTCCTGGACTTGTATGTCTGTTTCCTTCACCAAATTAGGGAAGTTTTCCTTCATTATTTTTTTCATATAAGTTTTCAATTTCTTGGTCTTCCTCTTCTCCTTCGGGCATCCCTATGATTTGGATGTTGGTGTGCTTGGAAATGTCCCAGATGCATCTTATAGTATCCTCATTTTTTCTGAAAATAGGTTTCTTCTTTGTGTTCTGGTTGAATGTTTTTTTCTTCCTTATGTTCTAAATCTTTGATTTGAATCTCAGCTTCTTCCCCTTCACTGTTGGTTCCCTGTAGATTTTTCTTTATTTTGTTTATTGTAACCTTCATTTCTTCCTTTATATTATTGCTGTGCTCATTGAGTTCTTTTGAATATCCTGATCACCAGTGTTTTGAACTCTGCATCTGATAGGTGAGTTATCTCCATTTCATTTCATTCTTTTCTTGGGTTTTGTTCTGTTCTTTCATTTGGCCATATTTCTTTGTCTCCTCTATTCAGCACCCTCGTATGTTTGTGTCTGTGAATTGAATAGAACTGCTTTGATTCTCCTGTCTCAGCAGTATGGCCTATTGTAGAAAAGGTGGCTGTAAATTAGGTGGGGTTGAGCCTTAGGTTATCACCAGGGTGGGGCATCCCACTTTACCACTTCGTGGTTCTGTGTGTGGGGAGGGCTCGGAGAGGGGCCAGGCTGTTGCCTGGCTTCTGGAGGTTTGCCCGGCATTCCCTGTTTCCATTCTCTTCACTCACTCCCTTTATGTGACTGGCGTCCTTTCAGCTGTTGCCCTGGTGCTGAATCCTAGAGTGGGTGGGTGGGTGTATGTTTAAAGACTGTGTGGGCCCTTTAAGTGGGGTTTCCTGAAAATCTGGTAGTTTCTTCTGCCACCCCAATCCCTACTGGTTTTTATAGCTAGAAGTTATGGTGATTTATCTTCCTGGCGCTGGAACCCTGGGCTGTGTGGTCTGGACTGGGGCTGTGAAAGCTTGCTCCCAAGGTATCCCTCCTGATTTTTATCAACCACACATGACTATTGGACCACCTGTTCTGCTGCCATTACTACCTCTCCACGCCACACTGTGTCTCATTGACACTCTGCACGTGTTCACATGTCTGCCCCTTCTAACTATCTGGATAAATGTGGCTTCCTTAAATCCTTGGTTGTCAGACTTCCATACAATTCAGTTTTCTGACAGTTGTGGGTGTTATTTGTTTTTGAGGTTTAGTTGTAATTCTTTCTATGATTGCCGGAGGAGGCAAAGCATATCTATCTATGTCTTCATCTTGCCCGAAAGTCTCATATTGTAAGGGTTTGAATGTCAGGCCTACATCATACAGTTCTTTCCTTTTACCATTCCTATAAGGCATACTGGGCCTCTAATAAGTACTTGTTGAGTAATATTTATGTGGTACTGTAAGTCTATTATGCACATTATTTATATTTGGCACAGGTCTTGGGGTTGTGACTCTATTGGAACTGCAGGAACCAAGAAAAGCTTCTATATCTAGAAGCAAAGATGATGTCTACATAAAGTACTATGTTAGGAAGTAGAGCTGTGGAATAAGTAGGTTCTGTGTATTAAAGTATTTAATGGTAAATCTTAGAAAAAAATCTCTCCAAAAATGCTGTATTGATCTCCAGTTAAGCACTGTTTTCAAGGCATTGATTTTACATTCTAGTTGAGGACTGGGATAGTTTCCAGGCTATTTTGGATCACACCTACAAGATGCACGTCAAATCAGAGCCCAGCCTGCATCCTGTCCTCATGTCAGAAGCACCGGTAAGGACAAGACTTGCCTGTCTAATGTTTCCTCTCCCCCCAGGACCATTCATTTGAAAAAAAAGTTTTTTGGCTTTAAAGGAGCTTAGAAATTTATATTTTGATGTTTGAAAATTAGGGGAAGAGGGATTAATTTTTAAATAATACTATAACTTTTATTTCAATAAATAAAATATTCACAGAATAATATCAAAGCACCCTAATGAGTTCTGGTGGTTATTTATCTATTTTTTCCAGGGATTTACTTAACAGTAGAATCCTTGGGCTGCTTCCCATTTTGGTTTATGAATTGTCCCTTGTGCCACAAGTGCAGTACATAGCTGCTTTTATATTCAGGTGTCTGGGAGAGATGTTGAATGAGGGCTGCAAATTGGTAGACTGAAGCTTCTTGTGAAATAGTAAATTATCAATCTACTGTTATTATAGTTAACTTCTGGGTTTTTTTATGAGTAAAAGGTATAAATGGGAGAATTTGGTGGTTTAAAAGTCACACTTAGGATTTTCATCACCAGATTCACTCTTAAGATTTTTTTTTTAGAGGGTTTAATTTGGCATTCTTTAATGAACTTGGGAAGTTCAACTGTGTTTAGCATTTTTTGACATATCTCCTACTTTTTTAATGTTTTATTATTTATGCTGTTACAGTTGTCGCATATCCCCCCTTTGCACCCCCGCAGCCTGCCCTCCACTTCTGTAGTCAGTCCCCACACCATTGGCCATGTCAACGGGTCCTTCATGTATGTTTTTTGTGTAATGCTTTCACCTTTCAGTCAGTCCCCACCTCCCCTCTCCCCTCTTACAGCTCTCAGTCTATTCCATGGTGCTCTTAAGATTTAATAATTCTTTATAAGAATCTTAATTTTCCTTAATTTTATAGAATACATAGCAGCAAACAATTTTATATACTAAATAATAACAAAGTTTTAATTTGTATTTAATTTATTTATTAAATCTATTTACAAATAAATAGAAATGTATTAAATATAATAAAGTTGTTATTATGAAGGTTATTTGCCATGGTATTTTATTCTATTTTTAACATTTTACATATTTGTTAATATAGTGCTGTGATGAATCTTGAGATAAATCAACAGTTTAGTTTTTAAACAACAAATGACTTGCTTTTCTTTTTTCTCCTTATCCAGTGGAACACCAGAGCCAAGAGAGAGAAACTGACAGAGTTGATGTTTGAACACTACAACATCCCCGCGTTCTTCCTTTGCAAAACTGCAGTTTTGACTGCGTATCCTTGAAAGACCAATGCTTAGCTTTTCTGTAAAGGTAGATGTGGTATTCCTGAAGATGATGCCCCAGCAGGAAGACATGAGCTAATTCCTGCTTGTTCAGAACTTTGGGGGTTTTTCTGTCTTGCTTTTTAGCTACCCATCTTTTAGTATTTCTTATTGGAAGTGATATACGAGAAAATATGAGAGGGTAAGGGAAAGATGCACTGAAATCCCGCTTGTTAACAAGGTTATTAAGAATTTTGTTTTTTGAAGGAGAATGTGCATAGGAGGAAGTATTGTATCCAGTTGGCTAAGATATAGTTCAGAGACTGCCATTTCCTCCCTCTCCTCCAATACCATAGAAAAGTAGAATTGGCTATAACTTTACTTAATACTAAATCACCAGATAGTTTTTGCAAGCATATAAAGGGACAGATATGGAAATATGCCCTCACCTCAAAGAATTTGTAATGTAAAATTCTTTTTTTTTTTAAGATTTCTTTCTTTCTTTTCTTTTCTTTTCTTTTCTTTTCTTTTCTTTTCTTTCGAGGGAAGGGAGGGAGAAAGAGAGAGAGAGAGAAACATGAATGTGCAGTTGCTGGGGGCTGTGGCCTGCAACCCAGGCATGTGCCCTGACTGGGAATCAAACCTGCGATGCTTTGGTTTGCAGCCCACACTCAATCCACTGAGCTACGCCAGCCAGGGCTAATATTCTTGTTAGAAGCTAAATAATAGCTTTTAATATTACTTCAAAATAACCATTGGCAAAAGTCATAAAGAAGTACATGATTAATTTGAAATTTTTGTGTAGTAATTATGGTAGTTTTGCAGCATAATATAGTAGCCTGGCAACCTTTATTTATACAAAAAAAAATAAGTTGTGTTATATGGAAGAAAGAGCCCTTTATTTAGAGATCAAGTTACAGGGCTTACATTGGTGTGATCTTGAATTAGGTATTTAAAATCTGAACTTTACTTTTACTCATCCTGCATATCTTCCTGAGTTGCTATAATATACAGGTAAATTTTACGTGAACATGAGGATCAGTCTGGTAACTAATCTAATATTTGTCAGTAGTGCCATGTCTTAGAGATGACTTTAGCAAAAGTGTTGAGGTGAATAGTAAAGCATTTGTGTCATGATTTAGTTTATAGTTGAAGATTTATGTTATACTTAGGAGTTGTAAAATAGGTTTAAGCCTGAATGTAGATATAAAAAATGTTAGATATAAAAAAATTTGAACTCTAGAGACCCACTGAAGGTTTTTCAGTAGAGGACAAGAGTACTGGTAGGCTCTTTGTGTGCATTATTTCATTTAATTTTATGTTGCCATATTAGAAAATGAAGTCAACATAAGCAAGTTAGTTCAAGTCCATAATTTAAAGATGGCTGTCCCCAATTTGGACATAAGTCTTTGGCTGCTTACTTATAAAGAAAGTGTAAACAGAATTGGCATTGTTTTATTTTTTTAATCTTTTATTTTGGAAAATTTCTAACACAAACAAAATAAAGTAGAATGTTGAACCTCCATAGTAAGTTCATCATCCAGGTTCTACAATTTTCAACACATAGTTAAATTACACCAGCTATAACCCTACCTTTCTCCCTCCCACCATGATTTTGTAGTTAATCCCAGACATTATTTAATTTTTATCTGTAGAAATTTCAGGATGTATATATCTATATAGGGTTTTACAATGTTCTCTAAAAATGATTAAAAAAAGATGTAACCACAATTTTTAAAAGGCTTTTATTTATTTATTTATTTATTTATTTATTTATTTATTTATTTATTTTGAGAGAGGGGATGGGAGAGAGAAAAAGAGGGAGAGAAGCATTGACATGAGAGAGAAAGATTGATCAGTTGTCCCTTGTGCACCCCAGCCAGGCACCAAATTTACAACCCAGGCATGTGACTTGACTAGAAATGAACAGGTGACCTTTTTTGCTTTGGGGTCCATAGGCAACCAACTGAGCCACACCAGTCAGGGCTGTTTTCTTATTTTAAAAATGTTTAGTGTGGCCTGGCTGGTGTAGCTCAGTGGATGGAGTGTGGGCTGCGAACCAAAGTGTCGCAGGTTCGATTCCCAGTCAGGGTACATGCCTGGGTTGCAGGCCATGACCCCCAGCAACCGCACATTGATGTTTCTCTCTCTCTCTCTTTCTCCCTCCCTTCCCTCTCTAAAAATAAATAAATAAAATCTTAAAAAAAAAGGTTTAAGCTGGTAAATTAAAAAAAAATGTTTTTTTCTTTTATTGATTCCAAAGACGGGAAGGAAGGGATCATCAAAGGGAGAAAAACATACTATGTGAGAGAGAAACATCATTAGTTGCCTCTTGCATGCGCCCCCACTGGGGACTGAACCTGCATCCGGGGCATGTGTCCTGACCTGGAATCCAGCCTTCGACCTTTCTGTTTGAGGGACAATGCCCAACCAACAGAGCCACACCAGCCAGGGTTTAGGTCTTTCTAAGTGTGTAGTTTCTACTCCTCCTCCCATCCCCTTTTTTTTCCTTTCAAAATTTCTTTCTTCAGGGAAGTAGATTGTTCTGTAGAATTTTTCACATTTGTGAATTTTCCTGACTAGCATCATTCCTAGCCCAGCAATTCTTGAAATTTTTATGCCCAGAACTTTTATATATATACATTGTATCTAGCAGTATTTACAATATTGGAAATTGAAACAGAAACTTTAAAATCATATTTGCTTAGTATTATTTTAAGTAAATTAATATATATTATATATCAATGAAAAATACTGCTTTTTAAACCCAGAAAATTAATGAGAAGAGTATTACATTTTTTCAAACCTCTTTAATGTTGGACTTAATAGCAGAAGTTGAAGTCTCGTATCTGGCTTTTGCATTCAGTCAGTTGTGTGTCACACATGACATACTCTCTAGAAAACTCTATACACTTATGAATGAGTGAAAAAGACAAGTAACATCTTAGTGTTGTTCTAAAATTGTTTTGACTTTTCAAATATTATGGCCTCAGGATTCCTTTACAGTTAAATTTACTGAAAACTTCAAAGAGTTTGTTTATATGTGTTATATCTATCAATATTATTGTTTGACAAAACTAAGAATTTAACATTTATTGGTTTATTTTAAAATAACAAACTAGACCTATTGTTAACATAAATAACATTTTTATGAAAATAATAATTGTATTTTTAGCCCTGGCTGGTATAGCTCAGTAGATTGGTTGCTGGCCTGCAAACCGAAAGGTTGCTGGTTTGATTCCCAGTTAGCACACATGCCTGGGTTGCAGGCCAGGTCCCCAGTTGCGGGTGTGTGAGAGGCAACTTATCACTGTATCTCTTACACACTGATGTACATTGATGTTTCTCTTCCTGTCTTTCTCCCTGTCTCTCTCTCTCTCAAAGTAAATAAATAAAATCTTTAAAAAAGAAAATAATATTATATTTTCATCTTTTTTTTGTAAACCTGGGCCAGTTTAATGTTCTTTACAATAAAATAGTTTTCTTGATGGCTACAGACACGTAAGCCATTGTAGTAATTGTAGTATGTAGAAACATCACAGTCAGGTTTTCCTGATTGGTGCATAGTCTTCAATAATTATAGGGAGTTACGTGTATGAAACTTCTGTCAGACCAGTAAGACTGCATTTATACATCCATCATTTTCAGGATTATTGGTAACCTGGGCATATTTCCCCCAAATAACCTTGCCTCCTTGGGTCACAAGACCCAACTCGCTTACGTTCATCTTGATGATGGTACCTTTGGTAATAACACCCAAAGTTGTATAAAGCAGGGATGAGGGAATCTTCTTTACATCAAGTATTGGCAGGCAAAAGGTGGCTTTCAGTTCAGAATGTGTTACATGGGCCTTCTTGAAACGTAAGCCCATTGGCCTGATGAATCTTTCATATTTCGGTGGTTTTCAAGTAAAGCTATCTCCGACAGAGCAGACTTTAGTAACCATCCTCTATCATGCTTTTTTCTTTCTCTTTTCTGTTCGAATAACTTTTAATACCTCTGTTTCTCCCTAGGCATGAACTTTGGGCAGAGGGATTTCCCATTTTCCCACTTTCTCTTTTCGTTTTTGTTTAATCATATTAAAAAGTACTTTAGCTCAGGACTGTCCCTCTCTGTTCAGTAGATAGGCAGGTACTGCTCCTTGGGGAGTCTTTTCATCATTCTTTTGTTCGGTGTTTCTCTTTTCATGCGTCTTGATAATCTTCTTCATTTGTAGTTTCTCAGCATGGCGCTGTTTATGGTAGAGTTTAGCCTTCAGACCAATCATCTTTTTTGTCTTCTTTGAATGTTCATGAGCCTCTCGACCTTCCTTTTTTCTCATCTTCTCATGGTAATCCAAACGATATCCATAGCACTTATGATGTAACTCAATATACTTGTTTTGTGGCATGGTTACAGCCACTGGGCTGCTGGGTGCAGTCCTCTGCACACAAAGAAGTGGTCAACTTTTGGGTCTCATAGACCTAAAAACCAACTCCCATGACAATAATTATATTTTCTAAAACAAAAGTATGAATGAGAAGAGTAGCATTGTTTCATCTTAATTGATATCTGGGATCTCATATTTGCCAGCCACAGACAGGCTCTGTCCTCTTGACACCTTAGGCTAGTGGGAAGGCTTCTTTTCTGCTTCCCAAGCTATATACTCCTGGAGAATGCATTTAGCTTAAAATGTGGCAGAATCACAGAAGTCATGGATACAGCTCTGTTTTTCAAAAGTGGATTAATCTCTGTTCACTGTTCCCATTTTTGTTGATTCCCCTTAAGTCTTATACTTGCACAGTTTAATAGTTAGCCCGAAAGATTTGGGTAGATTTTATACTGAGATTTTGGATTTCACCTTTTTCTGTAGTTCTCAAGTTTCCAACGTTCTGCTTTAAGTGTTTAGCTATTTTCCTACCATAAGCCATAGTCATGGAACTGGGGAGCACTTTTAGGCAAGGGAGTTGCACACTTGAGATTCTTACTTTGAGTTATAGCTTTATGAGAATAAATATTGGCTGGAATTTGACTGCTTTTGAATACTTTCCAGCATCTTAAAATGTTCATTTAAAATAATTTGTCCAGCCCTGACTGGTGTGGCTTAGTTGGTTGGGCGTATTGAAAGCGAAGGGTCTCAAGTTCAATTCCTGGTCAGAGTACATGCTTGGGTTGCATGTTCCACACCTAGTCTGCATAGTGAAGTCAATCTACCGATCTTTCCCAAATGATTGTTTCTCTCTGTTTCTCCCTACATTACCCTCCCACTAAAACAAATAAAATAATTTGTCCAGCACTGGCTGGGTGGCTCAGTTGGTTAGAGTGTCATCCCGTACACGAAAAGGTTGTGGGTTTGATCCCTAGTCATAGCGCATACCTCGGACGCGGGTTCTGTTCCTGGTCGAGGTGCATATAGGAGGCACTGATCAATGTTCTCTGTCACATCAATATTTCTCTTTCTTGCTCCCTTTCTTTCTAAAATCAATAAACATATCCTTGGGTGAGAATTTAACAATATAAATAAAATAATATGTCTAGATTTTATAATTGCCACCTATAGGAGGGTCCATAAACCTTTATTCTACTTTGTAGATGATGTTACTGTATTAGTCAGTACTAATAGCAATAAAATTAGTGTTTATGTATATAGTTGAGCAGAAGTCAACAGGATACCAGTAGTGACAAACATAAATCATTCTCCTGTCTTTCTGGCCATTTTTTCTCAGACTTCTTCCCCCAGGTCATCCCTACCCATTCTTTGGTTATCTGCCCTTAGGCCTTAATCTCTCTTGACATGCCCTTTCTGGCTTATTTTACCCATTTCCTTGACTTCAGATATCAGTTAGTCAGTGAAAAATGCCATTTCATATCTGTATCAGATCTTTCATGTGAGCTCCAGGCTGTTGCCCACAAGAACATTTTCTGTTAGTTATCTGTATAAGCACTTTAAACTCATTCTGTCCAAAATTGACTTTGTCTTTTCTCCCCATCTCCTTCTGTGTATCATCATAGTTCCACTTGTGCAGACCAGAAATCTTTCTCTTTAATCTTTATCAGTCATCAAGACCTATGTATTCCACCCCCACCCCACCATCTCTCAATTCCATTTATTTCTCTATCCACTACATTAGGTGCAAGCTGTTTCTGGGATTACTGCAACCCTTCCTCTTAATAATCTTTGTTAATTGCCAGCCAGCTTTAAGCCAGAATCATCTTCCTCATTCTTTCCTTCATTCTTCTTCCAGTCTATACTATTGAACTACTTACATTTCCCTGACCTCACCTGCTCTCTTGTTTCCCAGCCTTTTCTCATGTTCCTCCTCTTCCCTGTGTCCTGTCCCAGGCTTATACTTGGATTTCTCAGGGATTGGTCAGGTGGTCTCTCCGTAGTACCCTCTGGGGCATCATCCTGAGCTGTTCTTTTTACAGCTTTACCTACTGATTTCTACTTTACTAAACAGGATATACCTCAGGGCAGAGACAGTTGGTTCACCTTTGTGTCTTCTGTGCTGAAGGAATGCTGGTACCAGACTGACCTCTTTCCTTCCCTCATTTATTGACCATGAGACTCATCACTAGGCACACAGTAGATGCAGAGTAAATATTTGATGACCAAGTAAATGGCTCCATTGCTAAATAATGTTCAAGATGTTCTGGGCCAAGCTGTTCAGAGTGGGAACTGCCCATATTCATTGTGTTGAGTCGACCTGGATGGGCACACTCAGCTGCCACACTGCTGAACTACTTCTTTAATTCTTTGTGACATGCCCTTAGTTCCTAGCTCAAAGTCCTCAGCCTCCCTCTGTGCTTACCAAGTTTCTGTGGATTTCATTAAGTAAATGCTTCTCAACTTGTTATAAGCCCTTAGATATATCTCCAGAGACTCTGAGTGTGTGATTGTGTTAGTTTTGACCAACTTAACAGGACTCTCTGCGGGAAAGAGGGTTCCCCAAGTTCTTCCCACCACCGGTCTAGAAGTCAGTCCTGCCTATTATTTGTTTCTAGTCCAGAGTCATTGTTTGATACCAATTTTAAGCCCTAGATTTACTTTCACACATTTCAAGCCGTAATGCCTCTGTTTACAAATGCCTTCATAAAACCTTCCCTTTATAATAAACATTATTTTTAGGAGCCTTAATTCTTACTTGTCCTTAATGCTTTAAACTAGATTTGCTAATGGGCGCTCTACTGGGCTTATTTTGGACAGTGGAGCCACTCATACCACTGCAATTCCAGTCCACGACGGCTATGTCCTTCAGCAAGGTACGTGTATTTAACCAGTGGGCTCCGAGACCGTGTTAGCTGTCAAGAAGACACAGACAATGAAACTGGGCTGTCAAAACATACCAAGTTCCAAATAATGTCTTTTTTGAAGAGATTTTTTTTAAATGTGGTGTATAACATGAATTTAAAACTGATGCATAGCTTGATGCATGCTTTGAGGGATAGCTCTGTTAGTTCTCCTTGAAAAGAATTATTGACATATAAATCCACTGAGGACATTTGTCCCAAGGAGTTTGAACTTAATGCTGTCCTAGCCTTGTTTACTCTTTTTCATAGGTATCGTGAAATCCCCCCTTGCTGGAGACTTTATTACTATGCAATGCAGAGAACTCTTCCAGGAAATGAATATAGAACTCATTCCTCCATATATGATTGCATCAAAAGTAAGTGATGACTACTGAATTTTTTTGGTATTTTTTAAAATTATGTTTTTTTATTATGCTATTACTGTTGTCAGGATGTTTCCCCTTTCACCCCCCTGTGCCCACCACACCCCAGTCCCACAGGCAATCCCACCACCGTTGTTCATGTCCGTGGGTCATGCATATAAGTTCTTTGGGTACTCCATTTCCTATACTGTACTTTATATTTCCCATAGCTATTCTATGACTGCCTATTTGTACTTACATAAAATTTAAAAAAAATTTTATTGCATTATTTTCCTGAATTTTCTTTTTGGATTTATCTTCACCTCATGTTGTAAGCTCTGTTAACCTAGCCCATGCTCTTGGTACTCAGGAACCTGTGCGTGAAGGATCTCCAGCAAACTGGAAAAAAAAAGAGAAGTTACCACAGGTTACAAGATCTTGGCACAATTATATGTGTAATGTAAGTAACCATTATCCTTTTTTTTTTAAAGTCCAAGCATATGTTTATTGATTTTAGAAAAAGAGGAAGAGAGAGAGAGAGAAACAGAAGCATCCATGTGAGAGAGAAACACCAATCAGTCACCGTGGGTAGTTGTCCTGGCTGGTGATCAAACCTGCAGTCTTTCACTGTATGGGATGATGCTCTAAGCAACTGAGCCACCTGGGCAGGGCACCCGTATCCTCTTTGTGAAAGAGTTATAGACGTATTTTTTAATACAATATGAGCACTATTTTCAATCTCTACATTTTAAATACTTTAACAGAATTAATGGGTTTTTTTGGATGGTGTTGCCTTATATACTTGCCAAACAAATATGTCAACAAACTTTCATATATTCATTTGGATTATTGTGGTTACACTTGGGAGGAACTTTGGTTTGCAGATGAAAGCAAGCATTATGTTATTATGGACATTTTTTTAATTGTTGGAGAGAATGGTTTTTGTTCAAAGCAAACTCCTGATGTGGCTCAGTTATGTTCTATTTCCTAACATCAGTCAGCAATGTAAAAAATATGTATTATTGTTCATAGAAAAAAGCCAAGAAGAGATTCTCTTTTCTAAAAATTTACTTTTGAACATAGGACTTACAGAGGGAGAGGTTAGTAAAATAATCTCTCATAGCACTGATATACACTAATTCTCACAATAAAAGGATATGAAAGTCATAATTCACTGTAGCAGGTATATATCCTGTCTGACATATTTTGTACCTAAAGATAAAGGTTCTTTGTAGGTGTTCAGTACAAGGAAAAATTGTGAAAATGCTTAGCAATTTTCACTAAATATTAGACAAAATTTATGCTTACCAGGCCAGAGGTCAAATGTATTTCAGAGCAAATTTTTAAATTGTTTTACACTGTCATTAAAAATGACATCAAATGCAATATATATGCATGTTTTTAATATAGTTAGTTAATGAAAGCTTCTAAGTTTGAGCATATTTTTACAGTAAAAACAGTGTTTTAAAACTGGTCTTGTTATGCAAGACTGTGGTATAAGGGTTCCCAGTTTTTATCTCATCACCGTTCAGTTAGTGTTTTGATTTAACTGCTCTACATTTTAGCTGGTAATTCAGATGCATATAATTGGGTTTCTTTGATACTCAAGAGTCCTTGCTGGACAAATTTATACACTTGAAAGTACTTACCCACCTAGGGTGAGTACTTAAGAAAAGTATTTTGGAGATAATGTTACGCAGGTAGAGATTGCAAGGGTAAATTCAATAACCTTGTTTCTTAAACTTTCTTGTTTTTATCCACAGTGTGTTATCCAGGATTTTCAAGCTTCAGTATTGCAAGTATCAGATTCAACTTATGATGAACAGTATGTTTTCTTGTTTTGTCTATAAGACATCATTTAAAAGGTCATAAGAACCTTCATACTAATCTTTAGAAAACTGTATACTTCCTAAATGAGGAAAGGAATTGATTTAGATAAAAAAAGAGAATCAGAATATGCTTAATGGGTCAAAAGGTAAAAAGTTATGTTAAGGAATATGGAATAACATTTGAAAAGAATATACCTATTCTCACTCTGCCTTCATGTAAGTTGATTCCTTAGTAGTTAATAATTTTGAAGAGGATTGTTTTTGTCTTTTTTAAAAATGTTTTATTGTTTTTCAATTACAGTTGTCCCCATTTTTCCCTCATTACTCTCCCCTGCCCTGCCCACCACCCGACTCCCACATTCAAAACTCCCTCCCCGCCTCCCCCCATGTCTTTGTCCATGGGTCCTTTATTTTTCAACTTGACCCTTCTCCTTCTTTCCCCATTATCCCCCTTCCCCCTCCCGTCACTGTCAGTTTCTTTTTCTTTTTTCTTTTTAGAATTTTTTAAAAGACTTTATTTATTTTTAGATAGAGTGGAAGGGAGGGAGAAAGAGACATACACATCAATGTGTGGTTTTCTCTTGCACCCCCCTGCCCACTGGGGACCCGGTCTGCAACCCAGGAGTGTGCCCTGACTGGGGATCCAAGTGGCAACCCTTTGGTTCGCAGGCTGACGCTCAATCCACTGGGCCACAACGGCAGAACTCAGTTTGTTCTTTATTTCCACATCTTTGGTTCTGTTTTGCTTGCTTGTTTGTTTTGTTGATTAGGTTCCACTTAATAGGTGAGATCATACAGTATTTGTCTTTCATGTTTTTATCTTTTCTTTAATAAAGTTTAATGATTTCAGAGTAGCCGCACAGATGCCAACTGTTCATTATGAATTCCCCAATGGCTACAACTGTGATTTTGGAGCAGAACGGTTAAAGATCCCAGAAGGATTATTTGACCCTTCCAATGTAAAGGTATGAAGGTTTATTTCATAGTTAGCCTGGCTTTTCCTGTATGTCTAGAGATCTTATATAATTATAAAACCTAGATAATACTAAAATTTTTTAGATGTGCTTTATTGTTTGAAGTTCTCTGTGTCACCACTCACTGTGCTTTGTTGCAGGGATTATCAGGAAATACAATGCTGGGAGTCAGTCACGTCGTCACTACAAGTGTTGGAATGTGCGATATTGATATCAGACCCGTAAGTCCAGCCTCCTGTTTATTGTGTGAAGGTGTATTTTCAGGCACCGAAATAACCTCAGATCATTATTTAAGTTGGCATCTTGGCCGTGGATTTTGAAGTCCATTTTATAACAGAAAATAGGAAAGTATGAAGTACCAGAGAAGAAAAAATGTAAAACTCTAGAACTGTGGTGTCAAATGTGTTATCTACTAGCCCTATGTGGCAATTTAAATTAAAAAAAAAAGTTTCAAGGTCAGTTCTGCATTCATACTAACCGCATTATAGATGTAGCTAGTAGCCACTGCAGGCCAGTGCAGATATACAGCATTTCCATCATCACACAGTTCTTTTGGACAGTGCTGTTCTGGAGATTTCATAAAATGTGACAAACCAAAATATCTATTATTGGTGATTCTTCTTCTTTGTTGTAGTTATCCTTTTATTTTTTATAAGGTGTTTAAATAATGCCATGTTTATAAGGAATGTAGTTTAAATAATTTCCTTAACTTGATAATTTGCTGCTTTTCAAGTTTTAAACACTCCATATTATAACACCATACTGATCATTAGATTGATTATTTCAAATTAAAACACTGGTTTTAGTTTGTAGCTAATATATTGCCTCACTTTTCTTTGAGTTAATTCTGTTGCTTACAGCAAATGCCGAGGGTGGGTTTAGAAAACATGTTGTTGAAAAAGACTTTGGGAGCTGTAAAAAAAAATGTTCTTTATTTCAGCTAGTCACCTAAGGAGGCATGTGCTCTTTCTAGGACGGTAGGAGTAAAAGTGTGGAACCTTTTAGTGCAAAGTTAAGGCCACTTTTGGGGAAAGGCAGTTGAAGTACATTTACTGTAAGATAGTAATAGCTTTCTCTTTTTTTTGGTAATATATTTTATTGATTATGCTATTACAGTTGTCCCATTACCCCCCCTTCTCCCCTCTGCCCTGTAAACCCCCCCACCCACATTTCCTGTTTAGTTCATGTCCATGGGTAAAACAGATAAGTTCTTTGGCTTCTACATTTCCCATACTATTCTTAACCTCCCCCTGTCTATTTTCTACCTACCATTTATGCTACTTATTCTCTGTACCTTTTCTCCCTCTCTCCCCCTCTCACTCCCCTGCTGATAACCCTCCATGTGATCTCCATTTCTGTGGTTCTGTTCCTGTTCTAGTTGTTTGCTTACTTTTTGTTTTAGGTATAGTTGTTAATAACTGTGAGTTTGTTGTCATTTTACTGTTCATATTTTTTATCTTCTTTTTCTTAGATAAGTCCCTTTAACATTTCATATAATAAAGGCTTGGTGATGATGAACTCCTTTAGCTTGACCTTATCTGGGAAGCACTTATCTGCCCTTCCATTCTAAATGAAAGCTTCGCTGGATAGAGCAATCTTGGATGTGGGTCCTTGCCTTCTATGACTTGGAATACTTCTTTCCAGCCCCCACTTGCCTGTAAGGTTTCTTTTGAGAAATCAGCTGACAGTCTTATGGGCATTCTTTTGTAGGTAACTGTCTCCTTTTCTCTTGCTGCTTTTAAGATTTCTCCTTATTTTTAATCTTGGCTAATGTAATTATGATATGCCTTGTGTGTACCTCCTTGGGTCCAACTTCTTTGGGATTCTCTGAGCTTCCTGGACTTTCTGGAAGTCTATTTCCTTTGCCATATTGGGGAAGTTCTCCTTCATTATTTGTTCAAAGAACTTTACAGTTTCTTGCTTTTCCTCTTCTTCTGGTACCCCTATGATTTGGATGTTGGAACATTTAAAGATGTCCTGGAGGTTCCTAAGCCTCTCCTCATTTTTTTGAATTCTTGTTTCTTCATTCTGTTCTGGTTGAATGTTTGTTTCTTCCTTCTGGTCCACACTATTGGATGAGTCCCAGTTTCCTTCCCATCACTATTGGTTCCCTGTACATTTTCCTTTATTTCACTTAGCATAGCCTTCATTTTTTTCTCTAATTTGCGACCATATTCAACCAGTTCTGTGAGCATCTGATTACCAGTGTTTTGAACTGTGTATCTGATAAGTTGGCTATCTCTTTGTTGCTTAGTTGTATTTTTTTCTGGAGCTTTGGTCTGTTCTTTCATTTGGGCCATTTTTTTTGTCTTGGCACTCCTGTTGCATAGTGAGGGGTGGAGCCTTAGGTGTTCACCAGGGTGGGGCAACCCATGTCTCTGTGTTGTGATGCTGTATGCAGAGGATGGGTCCGAGAGGGAATAATGCTGCTTACTCTACTCTCTGCTGGTTTGCAGTCACTTCGTCCACTACCCACAATTAAATCAGATGCTTCTGGTGCTGATTCCTGTGTGGGTAGGTTTGTGTACATTCTAGGACCCTGTGGGTCTCTCCAGCAAACTCTCTTATGAGGCTGGGAGTTTCTCCTGCTGCTGCCTCAACCCCTCAACAGGTGTTTTCAGTCAGTGGTTTGAGGCTTTATTTCCCCGCACTGGGACCCGAGGTTTGTCTCGCTCCTCAGTTGTTCCTACTGGTTTATCTGCATGTGAATGTGGAACTGCCCTGTCCACAATCCGCTGCCTCACTGGGTCCTCCAATCACTGCCTTGCCTGACAGTCTCCACCTAGGCGCAAGTCCTCTCTGCCTGGGTGCCTGTCTCCACCCCTTTTACTTGTCTGGGTGAAGGTTTCTTCTTTAATTCCTTCGTTGTTAGACTTCCAGACAGTTCAATTTTCTGTCAGTTTTGGTTGTTTTTTGTTTTTAAATTTGTTGTCATCCTTCTTTTGGTTGTGCGAGGAGGCACAGTGTGTCTACCTACGCCTCCATCTTGACCAGAAGTCCTCAGCTTTCTCTTTTTAGTGAAACTTCTTTTAACTAATGTTGATTGCAGAGGAGACTCTTTTGTATTCCATTTTCTTTCCAAAGTGAGACGATTTACACATTTGGAATAAATTTTTGTAATATGAATTTACCCATGAAAAAAGCAGGATGACATTTAACTTTCTGATACATTCTTGCATATTAGAGATAAATGTACACCCCGTAAGTAGAAATTTATTTTTGTTTGGTGAGGCCTCAGCATGCGGATGTTGTGGAAGTTCGCCATGTGGTCTGGTGCACACCATAGAAGAGGACAATGGCAGTGATTTTCCAGGATTCTTGTCAGAGTGTGTGTTGCCCATCACAATTATTAAAGATTCGCACTGTCTAATTTTAAATACCAGAACTTCCAGAGGAGCATTTTAAGTTGAAGGCATTAACTCTAATGTTTAAACTGTATCTCTAATTAAATATTGGCAGCTATCTGCCAAAAATTATGATGGGTTTTAGAATAATTGCTTTGAGTTAGTGGTCCTTATACCTTAATGGATGTTACCATCACCTAGAGAGCTGTAAACAACTAATTCAAAACCCCATCCCCAGAGGTTTTACTGAAGTGCCCCAGTCACTGGTGTTTTAAAACCTGGCTATGTGGGTGGAATGTGCAGCCAGTACTGGGGACCACTGGATTAAGTATTAGGTCTGTGTAAAAGTATAACAACTTAAAAAGAAAGGGACATTGTAGTGGCAGACATGGTCTTATCTGTGGTTGTGTTTGAAAACTGTTGGAAACGCTTGGAACTGCCTTATTTTTGTTTGCATCCTAGGGTCTCTATGGCAGTGTGATAGTGGCGGGAGGAAACACGCTAATACAGAGCTTCACTGACAGGCTGAATAGAGAGCTCTCTCAGAAAACGCCCCCGGTAAGTTTTGTGTGTTCTTTAGTGGCATTCTTCAGTCACAGGTTTCCTCCCCACTGCTGTAATTGTATAGATAAGGTTTGTTTTTCAGTAAATTGATGATATTTTGTGTGCCTGAACAGTATTATTTTAATAAAGTTAATATCCATTGTTAATCAAATTTTCCTAGATGGCATGTATTAGTTACTCTTGTTACTATTTGAATCTCATTTTATTCATTGATTCCATACTTAAGTACCTATAGTCTGCTAGGCCCTGGAGATTTAAACATAGTCCCTGCCCACTAAGTGCTCAGTCTGCAAGAATGAACAGACATGGTAACAATAATGGCTGTAATGTGCTAAGTGGTTCAGTATGTCATGAACCAGGCACTCTTGGGAACACTGAGGAGCAAGTGTTTAACTGCCTGGGAGTATCAGAGGAAAGCTTGGAGAAGAAGCTGTTTGAATAGGAGTTAAGTGGTTGGTAATTTATGAAGGAACTTGTAGGTGGAGGGAAACCCCATATGCACAGTAAGAAGGGAGGATGATCTATTCCAGTATCTCAAAGTGGTCAGCTTGTCATCTGTGCAGAAGCGGGGAGAGTGATGTGACTTGTTAGATGGACGGTATATTAGTTCCTAGGTCTGCTGTACTGAAGTACCACAGAGTGGGTGGCTTAAAACAACAGTGATGTATTCTCTCTCGGTTCTGGAAGCTAGAAGTCTTGTATTTTGTATTAGCAGAGCCACGCTTTCTCTGAAAACTATAGAAGAGAATCCTTCCTTCCCTCTCCCTAGCTTCAAGGGTTTGCCACCAGTCCTTGTTTCCTGGATTGCAGCCACACTTCAGTCTCCATCTGATGTCATATAGGAATATCCCCTCGTGGGTCTGTCCTTCTCATAAAAGAACACTAGCCATATTGGATTAAGGGCACTCTCCTCCAGTATGACTTTCTCTAATACTTCTTAATTATATTTGCATTGACCCAATTTCTAAATTAGATCACGTTCACAAGTACCAAGGAGTATAACTCCAATATATCTGTTTTAGGGACACAGTACTATTCATACAATATGTAACCATGCCCTGTAGCTTATTAAGAGCAAACTTAAAGGATCAAGTTTGGCAGAGGACCAAAGAGCTCCTGTGTTTGTTGTAAAAAGATCATGTGAGCATTGGGAAAACTTTTAAAAGAAGAACCTGGTTTGGGGAGAGGGTTGTTTACGTGGTACATTGATAACAGAGTAGCAGTCATAACCTTTAGATTTTAAATGTTTATCACGTAGTTTCTTGTAAGATACTCTAATGTTATTTTTGAAAATTTGCTTATGGGGCTGGCTGTTGTGGTTCAGTGAATTTAGTGCCAGCCTGTGAACCAAAGGGTCACTGGTTCTATTCCCAGTCAGGGCACATGCCTAGGTTGTAGGTCAGGTCCCCAGTAGGGGGTGTGGGAGAGGCAACCACAGATTGATATTTCTCTCCCTCCCCTTCTCCCTCCCTTCCCCTAGCTAAAAAGAAAATAAAATCTTTTAAAAAATAAACAAAACTTTCTAGTGGTTGCATAGACCCTTACTGTACTTGTATATTTGATAGTTTTTTGGCCTCTCATATAAAGGAATATTTTCCCTATGCCCTATTTTTGTAGTTGTGGTGTTTAAATATTAATATATGTACAAGATTGACTCTTGCCTTATATTTACACCATTCTTGGAGATACAGTGTGATCTGGAATATACCTTAATTATAGTACCAATCGTTAGATCTTAGAAAGTCTCAGAATACTGAATATAGTCATAGGTTATCAATACCAGTTAGATATTATCCTTATTCATTAGGAGGCAATTAAAAATTAATGAAATAACTGGGGAAAATCCCATTGTAATAGGTATCAACCAATACCTCATATATGAAAACCCATGTTTACCCCTCCTGTTCCCAGCAGCCATAATCCAACCATAGGACATAGTCCACCCCGAAACGGTTATTTCTGTGAAAAATGATTCACAGGATGTGTTCATATTCGGAATAATTAAAGTAGTGTGTCAACAATTTGAGAACTATCACCAGAAGCAAATTTCTAGGTCAAAAGTAAAAACCTATTGGTTCAGGAAATGAGAGGGATAGCACTGAGGCCAAAAACAATGTTGAGAGAGTATGAGTGCAAAACAGGAATTCTCATTAGGAAGAAAAGCAGTATAAATAAAAAACTTACCTGAGATCTGATGTCTACACTTTGTTTTCTAAGTGGGAGACGGTAGACAGTGTGGAGTGTGGAGGAGTAAACTATGGTAGGGAGGGATAGGATAGCATGAAGCCTAAAAAGGCAGTAGAGAGAAAACTGAGGAGGACTACTGAAGGGGCTGCAGGTTGGGATAACAGTTTGTTGAAAGAAATGAAGTAATATAGGATGCACTTAGCACTGTACCTGATGTATAGTAGCGTTAATTATGTTTGCTGTTGGTTATAGGATATAAAAGGTAAATGTTTTATTCTTTGTAGTTGTCTAATGTTTATATAATATATTTTCTTATTAAATTTACACATAAAAACCATAGTTAAAGCACTTTACAAAAATCTTTCTATGCAATACTTTCATTTATGCCAATATAAGCCTAGCTTTTACAAAAAAAAATCATGTATAATCAGTGTTTCAACCAGTCATTCAGAAGTCCTCCAAGCTGAATTTCCTAATGTGAGTTACCTGTTGTAATGTTAGTTACCTGTTGTAACTAATAATACTTACTGTTCCCTCTCGATTTTAGAGCATGCGGTTAAAACTGATTGCAAATAATACAACAGTGGAACGGAGATTCAGTTCATGGATTGGTGGCTCCATTCTAGCTTCTCTGGTGAGTAGAGAAAGTGCTTTCAAAAAGAACAATTCTTACTGAATGATTTAACCTAAATATACCACTGAACATACTAACTTTACTACAAAGACTACAAATGATGCTAGTACACCATGTACCTTTGCATTTTATAACTGTCCAGTGAGTGGAGGACCTAATAGAACCAGTTCTACGTGTATTAATCTAACAAAAGGCTTTGTTGCCTTATTAGTGGGTATTTGTCAGCCTAAGTTCAAGTTTCCAATCTCAGACAGGTGGGAATTGGTTAACTTATTTACGCCTCTTCCAATGATACCCTCACTGGCACTGGTCAGGACTTAGATGCAGCATATTTAGGATGAAACATTCCTTCTCAGGTTCTGGTTGCTCCTTGGCCTGTTGGTGAGGTAGAAGTCAGGATTTGGTTCTTGGGGGAAATGGTAGAGTCAGGAGTAAGAGTCCTTGTACTCAATGTATACCCTGTATTGGAGAATGTTCCCTTCTCCTCAGAGCAACTGAAGTCAATGCCACCAAGTACTTACACCATACATCTTTAAGCAATTAAATGTTTGGAACTGTCCATGCATATATTTCTATTTCCAGTCTTTTACCAGATCATAGATAAAACTACATACCACATACGAAATCTCCTGAATAGAGTTACTCATAGGGAATGGGTTTATTATTAATGTAGCACAGGTTCCTTCTTCCTTTGGTCACTTTCTCTTTCCACTTTCCATATTTATTTGGTAAAGTACTTGTTACTATTGTTTCTGTACTTGCAAAACTTTATCCTAGTTCTGATGAGCCCTTGCTTTTTCACATGATAACCATGAACTTTATTAATTTTCAAATTAGCAAGCCCAAACAATGTCCAGAAAAGTTACTAGAATTTTAACAATTTGAGCCAGGGCCCAGGCTCAAAATAATAGAATCAACTGGTAACAATACAGTATGTCAACTGAATCCTATAAATAGGACAAAATTTAAAGTACCATCCAAAATATCAGGCAATAATAAACTACTGGAAATAAATCTATACAAATATGTACCTAAGACCTTAATGATTAAAATAACACTTCATGAAGACTGTAAAGAACCAAATGTAGGAAGAAATGATACTTAGAATGTAAAGCTCACTAGTGTATAAAGATGTCAATTGCCCCCTAAAACTAATGGATTTAATGCAATTCAAATTAAATGACCAGTGAGGCTGGCGTAGGTCCTTTGGAAAGATTTGCAGGCAGCACCACCAAGCAGAACATCCACTACAAGCAGCAGTTGTGCTCCTAGACCTGAGAACCCACAGAAATGTCCTGTGTGCCCTAAATCATGCTGCAGGACATTGCGCAGTGGCCGCACAGTGAAGACAGCAAATGCCATCTCCCCGGATAGGTAAATGGAGGTGCATTCACACTGCACAAGAGTAACCCACTGGCCAAGACCCACCAGCCACCACTTCTCACACCCACATAGGCGAATGCCACTGGCCAAAGGCACCCTGATCCTTCAAATCCTCAGTAGTGCCATGGGTGTTCTGGAGGAGGGCAGAAATAACAAGAGTAATGGAATACTATTTGGGGGGAGGAGGTTTTAGGAGTCCTTAAAAAATTAGGAATTGTGAAAATAAAGATATTAAAAGAAAAAGTATTTTGTAATAAAAAGGCACAATAATATAAATAATTTTTCTTTCCATTTTATAGGGCACCTTTCAACAGATGTGGATTTCCAAACAAGAATATGAAGAAGGAGGGAAGCAGTGTGTAGAAAGGAAATGCCCTTGAAAAGTGTTCCTACTGCTCCACTTTCCCATCTCCTTACGTTTCATAGCTTTAGTACACTCAGGAAAAAATGACCATCTTTTGTAGAATGTTAATATATTTTTGCATTTTTCAATTTTCACTTAAAAATTTTTAAGACTTTAACTGGCTGTATAAAGTAAAATTAGGTTGTGCTGTCCTTGAAATGTACTTATTCTTATTACAAGCATTTTATAATTTTGTATAAATGTCTATTTTCTCTAAATATTTTGCTTTCAGTCAAAGGCTTTCAAACTCTGCTTAGTATATTATCAGTGGATTGGTAGGACTGCTTTTTATTGATGAATAAAATTTATTGCCTATGCTCTCTTTACCTTAGGCTTGCAAATTTAAATAAAAATTATTAGCCATTCCAGAAGTACATGTTTGGACTGTTGTATTGACTTGCTACTTTAAGTACTAACTGTATTTATCAGTATTTTCAGTGAAAATACTCATTGTTTATTAACAGCAGTATCCACACCTTTATATCCTGTGAATAATAGTAGTTAAAATGTAACCAAATTGCCTTTGCTATATATGTTGACATTACTTTTCCAAAGATATGTGATAGTGAAGTCTGCTTAGATGTCATAATTTGTACAATGAAAACTTAATCTGAATTTTATACCTGAGTTTTAAAAGCATGACCACTTCCAGAATTAGTATGCCATATTAACAATGAACACAGCTATTTGACTAAAACCACATTTTCTTTATAAATCACTTAACATAGTTACTTTTCTATATGGATTGTTACCTAAGAAAAACAAAATGGCAAATTAAAAGTTCATACATCTTAGATAAGACTTGACTTCCGGGCTTCAGCAAGATGTGGAAACTTTTCCTTAAGTTGTTCTGCTTTCTTTTTCTCTAAATGTTTCTTCCTTGCTTGGATACGGGCTTGTTTCTCACGTCTCAGTCTAGAGTAAGAAAAGCATAACAGTAATTTATACCGATTTATTTAAGGCCTGAATCATGCCAGTCTCCATAACAGCCGTGTCTTGTATTTTATTAAACTTGAATAATCACTGTAAACCTACCCAAATCAAAGGTGTACGTGAAATCAAAAGCATATGTAACCCTGCAGCAATTCTCATTTCCTGTCTAAAATGAACAGATCTTCTGACCCTGTAAAAGAATGGTCTATCTTTCTACCTTATTTAAAAACACTAATTTTATCGAATACATTAGATTTTTTACATCCTAAAATATATCCTGAGACTTTTGGGAATTCTCTAATTTCAAATGGCACTCAGACTAGCATATCCTCTCCGCTACAGGGAGAATAAAGCCATGTTTAGAGGTGATGCTTAGGGGCTAGTTAGACTCACCACTTTTTTTTTTTTAATCCTCACTCAAGGATATGTTTTGATTGATTTTAGAGAGGAAGAGAAACATCAACATGAGAGAAACAATGATTGGTTGCCTCCTATATATGCCCTGATCAAGGACTGAACCTGTAACCCAGGTATGTGCCCTAACTAGGAGTCAAACCCATAGCCCTTTAGTGTATGGGACAACACTCCAACCAACTAAGCCAACCGGCCAGACCTGACTCACCACTCTTAAGTGAGTTTGCTTGTACACGTGGCAATCTAGGGCAAGAGGCATTTGTGCCCCTGCTGAATTATGCTGACCTCTATGGTGAGGTAGGAATTAGCAAAATTGTAAATGATGAATTCATGGATGCCAAGCCTCTACAGTACTGAAGCTAATATTTTGGAGGATATTTTATTGATCGGTAGGCATAAACATAAAATTTAATACCAAAGACATGTACTAAATAACTGAAATATGCCAGTGCTATGGTGGTCGCAGAAACTGGAGATATGGGTTATATTTGGGTAAAAACAATGTGTATATACAAAAGAATATGATACAAGCTACGGTACTTTGTAAATTAAGTATAACGTAAGACAAATCAAAGTTGATACCACATAACCCATTATACTCATTAATCTTTGCTCAAATTATATTTTGGCCATTTATAAGAAATAAACATCTGAAAGAATAAAGGTTTGTTATTCTTAAGAATATTCAGAAGATTATGCTGCATGCATTGAAGGTAAGGCTAAAAAAGGTAGTTTCAAAAACATAATAACTAGAATATGTATAAAGCCTATAAAAGTAACAATGGATTCATAATTTTTCAAATTGTTTTTAAAATGATGCTCTTTACAGCTTCACCTTACATGACTAAAAGGTAGAAAGGTCAAATGGCACTTTAGGCCATTTTTCTCCATTAGGCTTGGAGAAAAAAAGAACTAGTGCAGTTAGGTTTCTTCAATCACTTAGCATCTGAAGTGGGTCTTAAAACGGGCATACATGCAGAGATTTCAAAGCTGTAGGAACAGAAAAAGAGAAAATGAACAAGTTGTGTTTAGAAAACCAGGAGAAAATGGTTGTGAGACTGATGAAAAGAGGCTAAGACTGAATTGTGGGAACACTGGGTAGGAAGTGGTTTGGATTTTATCCTATAGACAAGAAGCTACTGTTTTAAGGTTTTCAACAGCTCTGATGTGATAAAAAGATTTCCGGAAGCCCTGGCCAGGACTGAAGTGTGGCTCAGTCAGCTGGGCACTGTCCTGCACCAAAGAAAGGTTCCTGGTTTGATTCCCAGTCAGGGCACATGCCTGGGTTGTGGCCTGGTCCGTAGTTGGGGGTGGGCCAGAGGAAACCAACTGATGTTTCTCTTTCTCCCTGCCTTCTCCCTCTCTAAAAATAAAAATTTTAAAAAATCTTTTTTAAAAAAGATCTGAGGAAAATTAGTCAGGAAGCAATATCTGAATGGACTCACGTAAGGAAGATGTTTCAACAACTCAATCTGATGAGGGACTGTACTGAGGCAGACTGAGTGGGAGTAAGAAAGAGAGATCCTGGAGACATTTTGCAGGAAGAATGAAATTAAAGAATGCCTGAATCTAGAGCACTGGTGTTGAAGAGGATGAATAATATTTAATATCAATAATGGATATACTGTAAATAAAGGGGTTCTGGATCCAATTCCGGTGGGCATGGGGGTTTCCCACACCACCACTGAGCAATCCACAGACACCACCAGGGTGTTGAGAATTCAACTCAATTCTGACACTACCTACCCAGAGACGGTGTCAGAGGCTGTCACCTGAACTTCTGACTGACTCCCTCCTTGGACTTCAAGCACCAGTCACAAGTCCCGGTTGTTAACTGTAGTTCTGACCGACTGGCTATAAATCAAAGGTTACCACAACCTTCTCCTGGGATTTGATTACTTAGTAGAGCAGATCACAGAACTCTGGAAACCTGTCTACACACTAGATTTCCAATTTGCTACAAAAGGATGTAACTCAGGAACAGCCAGACAAATGACAAGCAGAGAGCAAGGTCTGGGGAAAGGGTGGTTTCCAAGTCCTGTTGAGGCACACCACTCTCCACAAATCTCCAAGTGCTCACTAAACCGCTCTCCAAGCCCTATGCTTTTAGGGTTTTCTTTTTATGGAGGCTCCATCACATAAGCATAACTGGTTAAACTATTTACCACTGACAATTGATTCAACCTCCAGTCCCTTTCCCCTCCCCAGAAATCAGGGGATGGGGAAGAAAATTTCAATCACCTGATCAAGGCTGCTTCCCTTGACAACCAGCCCCAAATCCTAGGTGCTTTCCAAAAGTCACTCATTAACATAAAAGACAACTTTTCTTTTTATTTTTTTTGTAGGAACACTTAAGAAAGGTTTTAGGAGCTTTATGACCAAAACAGGTACAAAGTAAACATATATTTCCTATTATAAATCACATCAACACCACCATAGATAAAAATAGAAATGAGAAGTGGCTAGTTTGTTGAGGTAAATAAAAAATTTAAACTGATTCTAAAGTATACTAAAGACCCTTAAAATCAATTTAAAGATATATTTCATTCATATTTAAATTATTTTGTATAAGTTTTTAATTTTTGGGTACAGAAACAATCCTTTGGGAGAGTGAGCCAATTTTTAAAGAACTCTTGATGAAAGTAGAACATATTCTCTAAGGCAGTTGTTAAAAACTGTGGTTCTTGTGCTGCTAGGATTTCTCCTTTAAATTTGCAGCTGTTTTCTTGCCTTGAATTCTGGTCTCTAGAACCTCTAGCCAGTAACCCTGCAGATTCCCCACCATGGTGCTTTTCGGCAGCCACAGCCATGGAGGTAAGTGGCACCCTTTCCATGGAAACCACAAACTTGCAATTCTTTTCCCTTCAAATGAAAGTTTTGGGGATTAATTTCATCAACCTTGCAATAACATTAGCTCACATTTTATGCAACCGAAGTATCTGGACCTTTTAATATGGTAGAAAGACTTAAGCATCTACTTAACATACAGATTGATGAATAGAAAGGCAATAAAACTTTTGAAAAGATATATACTAGAAAGTTAATAGAAGACTGTATCTGGATGGTGAAATTATTCAAAACTAATTTCTTTTTTACCTGGTTTTTCTGTTTTTTTTTTGCCCCCGCCCCCCGCCCCCCCCCACAGTGAACATGTATTTGTTTATGTAAAAGCTCAATGCATGTCATCTGATGTAAAGCTGTTTCATTAGTAAGGGTGTTTGTGCTCACCTCTCAAAACGTTCCACATAAGGCATTGCAAAGAATCGTTTCCTGTTGTATCTCTTATTTAGGTACCAAGGTATAGGCCACTGCTTGAACTTGTGCCTGCCAAGAAAGCAAAAGTATCGCCTTTTAGAAAATATTTAATACATTTTCAAACAGATAGAGTTTTAGCCTTCTTTGGACTAAATATGCTGTCAACAAAATAAAAAGCAAAATAAAAAACTCTTGAAGGGAATAGCGCTCTTAAAGAGATTCTAAAATTGACACAGATTCTCTCCTTAACCTCACCTTTCCTAACTGACCTCAACTAGACTAATGCAAATAATTAGTAGAGTATAAACCAGGTCAGAGTTTTTAGTCAGAAGTTTTAGCAATTTATCTCTTTTCTGTATTGGATTACATGGTTAAAGACAGCATGGCTACCCCGCTAAATGTGGCCCCGAGCAGCCCCACTACCCCAAACTCCATTAAAGAAGTCTGCAAACAAGTAAGTGCTATTATGTGATGTAATTTCAAAAGTACAGGGAAGGTCTCCAACCACCCAAAATGCCATCTCCATTTTGCTGACCAATGTTTATAATTCCATTACTAATGTTTCCTTTCAGCACCTCAACCTAAATGTAAATAAACTCTTGGCAGAGACAGAACACATTGGGTCTTCTCAATTACTTATATTGCATTATAAAGTTCATCATCAGATCTTTTTCCAAGGTCTGGTAGGACTCTGGGAACTGGACTCAGGAGGCAGGATTAAATTGTTTCATAGCACAGACTAGGGCTTACCCTGGCTCATGTGGCCCTTATGCCTCAAAAACCTGTTTTAACAGTCCCAGGCTCTTAATGGGCAGAGGACAGGTGTGTGTCCTAAAATTGGCTTCATGGCATTTACAACCTCTGAATTACATGTACACATATCCATTTTTTCTGGGGAAAGGATCTATAACTTTCATCAAATCCCCAGAGGACCATATCATTCACATTAGGTTAAGAACCACTGTTGTAAGGTACCTACAGATAACTGAATCATGAGAATGGGATGCCTAGACTGCTAGTTAAATCTACCTTTGTTCACATCCTCGAGTTCCAAAAGGTTTTGGGACCTCTTTATATTAGGTATATTTTAGTCTATCTAATACACTTTACACAATAAGAATTTTCTTAAAAGACATTGGACAGGGGAAGAGGCATGGGACTTCCACTCTAGTCTCAGAAAAGCCACAACGTAAACTATGTACCAGATGATTCTTCCAAAGATGTCTTTTCTCCAAGCACCAGGTCTAGCTTTTTCTTGACCAGTCTGAAGAAGTCTTAGGGCATCTTCTCGTTCTTGTACAACTTTATCCAATGCATCCATGGATTCTACTACCTGAGAATAGAAAGACATAATTTCAACAATCACCTACAACAGAATTCCAAAGAAAGAGGACATATAAAGATTATGCTATAGAAAACCTATATGAGTATTTCTGTCAAAGAATCATTCTGTCAAAAATTTCCTAAAAATCTTTGTTGGCACAGGTATATATAAGTATCTAATATCACTTTTTGTAATTTTTTAAAAGTTTCATTTCATTTAAATGAAAACCTATTTAGCTTAGATTTTCTACATGAAGAGAACACTTCCGGTAGGTAAACAATATGCACATATGACTGATTACCTCTAGGAAAGGAAATAGGGAATCCAAGGGATTTTTTTTTTAATGATGAAAAAACCCTAATTTAAAAAATAGGTGACCCTTTCACAAGGTAAATATACTTAACTACCATACTACACACTTAAAAATGATTAAGATAGTAACTTTTATGTTACGTTTTTACCACAGTAAAAAAAAAAGTATGAATAAAATTTGACAGAGTGGGCAAGGAAGTGGCTAAGCTAGAACAAGAAATGTAAAATAGTGCAGCTACTATGGAAAACAGTTTTGCTGCTCCCTAAAATAGTAAACATAGATTTCCCATACAGTTCGGCAATTTCACTTGCAGGTGTCTAGCCAAGAGCAGTAAAAACACATGTCCACACACATGTTGGGGGCTCCAGGTAGAAATGGGGAGTGACTGCAGACAGGCATGAGATTCCTTTTTGAGCTGGTAGTGATGGCTACACAACTCTGTGAATTTACTAAAAATCAAGCAGAAATAGAAAAAATCTACTTGACAGGAAATATAGGAACCATATGCTCACTCCTGTTAACTGCACCCCAAATCAGTCAGCTCCCCATGGCCTTACCTTATCTAACCGCTCCGGACTTGGCATCGGTAATATCTGCCGTTTGGCCTCCTGCTGTAGAGTTAGAAGCATGTTTCTTTCTTTCAGCAGGACATACCTACATCAAAGAACACAAAGCTTATGATGCTAGTGTGTGGTAACATTAACAAAGTTGTGATTTTTGACATAAAAACTAATGATCTGTTTTCAAAAGCCTCGTAGAAATCTTGATATACAGAGTATCACTACAAAGAATAATTCTTTAAGCAAAATTATTATCTATTCTTATTCACTTGTTATGTTTTCCAGATGCCATATGTTGTATTATGTGCCAATTACAAAAAAGCATAAAATATAGTCCCCCTATCAAAGTGGAGAGAGATGCCTGTTGCATGTCAGGCAATGTGTGAAATACTTTACCAAGTTTCGTTTAATTCTTACAATACCCCTTTGAGATTAGCTTTATTTCCACTTTCTAAATAAAGAAACTAAGCTGAGAGAAGTAGGGTATTCTGGAACACATAGCTAATTCAAGATTCAAATCCTGGTCTCTCTGAATGCAAAACCTACTCTATTTTCACTCTCCTAGGCTGCCTCCAAAACTGCAATGTGATGTGGTGTACTGAGTGGTAGTGACAAGTACCAGAAGAATTAAGTGGGAGAGAAGAGACATTTCTTCTAGCTAAGATGATCAAGAAAAGCTTTGCAGAGATAGGGTTTGCTAGATTGGATGGAAAGCAAAGCAAAACAAAACGAAAGGTACTGAGTGACAAAGCTGAAGTGAGGGTAATGTCATGAATAACTGTTTGATTCTACTAAGAAGAGCTGGAAGAAAGGAAAGGAAATCAATGTGGAGGGTACTGAACAGAAAACAAAGGAACTGAAGTACATTATACTATGGAAGGAGACAATTTGGGGGGAAGCAGTGACAGAAGACAAATTGTTCAGTTTTTGACATGATGAATATTGCAAGAGTCCTAACTATCCTTTACTAATAACTCACAGTAACAGTGCTTTTGGCAAAACTTACAAATCTTATTTTTAATACAACTTATTTTTTTATAATAAATCTGTGCTGTTTTAAACATAACACTTCTGACACCAAGTGAGAAGCTTTTCCCTCTTCTTCACACCAAATGTGCCATCTTTTCCAACACCACTTCTCCAACTCTCCGACACTCACTATCTGGAGTTAGCACCAGATTCCACAGGTTTGAGCTCAGCCCCACAACACTATCCCCTAGTTGAGACACCAATACTAATTTCCAGGGCTTCTGTACATCTGACTGACCAGCTACAAGGTGGGAGTTCCAATGACCCCCTCCTTAGAATGGCTCACAGAACTCAGGAAAGCACTTTACTATCATTGGTTTATTACAAAGGACACAATTCAGAAACAGTCAAACAGAAGAGATGCACAGGGCAAGGCATATGCAAAGGGGTGCGGAGCTTTTGTGCTTTCTCAGGGTATGCCACCCTCTCAGCACGTCCACGTGTTCACCACCTTGGAGGCTTCACTATGTAGGCACGGTTGATCAAATCATTGACCACTGGTGATCGAACTCAATCTCCTGTGCCTGCGCCCCTCCCCAGTGGTGAGGGTGGTGGTTAAGCCTGAAAGTTCCGCCCTCTAATCAAGCCTTGGTCCTTATGGTGACCAAGCTCCATTCTGAGGTGCCCCCTACCAACAGTTGCCTAATTTGAACAAAAGATACTCCTATCACTCAGGAAATACCAAGGGATTTAGGAACTGTGTGTCAACGAATGGAGAAAAAAACTGAATATTTCTTATTGTATCACACGACAAACCTATATCATCAGTGGTTATTTAATTTAAAAATACTTAAGGAATCACAAATATGAGTAGGTGGGCTTAGTAAAAGACAACAGGATGGGCAAGAAGTGGTGTGCACTGATCCATCTGGATCGGGCAGTGGCTACGCAGACTGGCCGGCCAGCCACAGGCATGTGGGTCCGGTGCTGCCAGATCAGAGATCTGATTATTAAAGAGGAGCCGGAAATATTTATTTTTGTGTGAAATACCCAATTTAAAAACCATAGTGAAGTCCAAACAAGACATATCTTTGGCTAAATATTGTCAGTTAATGTTGGGAGTGGGGAGCAAAATGTGTGAAGGAGGTGAAAATGTACATATTTCCAGTTTTAAAATCAACAAGTCACAGGGATGTAATGTACAGCACAGTGACTACAGTTAATCATCCTGTACTGTGTATTTGAAAGTAGCTAGGAGAGTGGATATCAAAAGTTCTCATCACAAGGAAAAAAAAATTTCTAACTATTATGGTGGTAGATGTTACCAGAACTTAACTATGATGATCATTTTGCAATGTATACAAATACTGCGTCAGTACGTTGTATACCTGAAACTAATATAATAGTACATCAATTCTGCCTCAATAAAAAATATACATATATAGTCAATTAAAAATAAAGCCCTGTCTTAAATCTTTTCAACTCTAATTCATCAGGAGAAACTGCCTAATTCATCAGGAGAATGTACTTAAACTCCCAATTAAATGCATCCTCCAACACACTTCCCCAAAGCAAATAAGCTGAAGATTTCATACCATACCAAATGTAATAAAAAGGAGGAAGGCCTAAATGTGATCAACTCTTCTCCATTTCATTAGTTTTCTGAAATTGTTAGTACACAGGTATAGTATGACTGGTAGCATTTATAGTAAAACTTCTAAACCCCCAACTATACTTGAGAATTCGGGTATATTTTTCTTAATATAATTCAACCTGTCATATTTATAAAATCTGTAATGCCCTCATATAACATCCACAGTACTGTGAGACAAACCACTTTACTCAATTTCTTACATCACATAAAGTTTACACCTCACTGTTATACTGTAACTGCTTCAAACACCTAGATATTCATGTACTCAGTATACTTACCAAAGTTTATGCAAATCTTCATTACTTTTGTTCCTTAATTGCTGACAGGTCCATGCAGCTCCTATTAAAATGATAAATTCAAAACATGAAACAGTTTTCCAGCTATGTGCCCTTTGGCAAATTACTTACCTCTCTAAACCAGTTTCCTTATCTGTGAAATATGTAATAGCTTTATTATATTACAGTATAAAATATAACTGGGACTAAATTAGATAACACACATGAAAATATGAGTAATGAGACTGGCAATAGCATTAAAAATGTTAGAATAACTACAGAATGTATTTTTGCAATCTAATGTCAAAATACTGTATATCATTATAAATTAATTTTCAATCATCTCTAAAAAATAAAATCTAAAATAAACCTCAAACATCAACTTAGTAAAAAAAGTTCAGCCTACTCCTATTCTAAACCTTTTGCCAAGCTGCCAAGGAACAATTAGGTCTATTATATTGTCCTTTTAATTTTCACTAGTAGACATTCCCAAAGGAAACTGAAAATGGAAACACCCAAGTAATTCCTAAACTGGATAAATAATCCCAAGACAATGGATGGTTCAATAGATATATTTAACATTGTTTGCGGGTTGTTTTTATCATGTGCTCTACTAAGTCAACGTAAAAAGTATAAACATGTTTCCTGCATACAATGTGTTAATACCAATCAACCCAAATATCTCACCAGACTTTACTTTTTCTTCCCCCCAGTTCTTTGGGTCATCAAAAAATTCTTCCAGTCCTTTCCTTGACAACGTGGTATGAAGTATTCTACAGTGGTGCAAAGGTGTGACATTTGGTGTATTCTGAGGCAACAAATTAAGAGAAAACCTGCAACAGTACATAAACAAGTTCAAGTTTTACATTTGAATTTTATAAGCAATAAATTGAATCATTTTCTCACCTACAGTGTTAAAAAACTTACTCATGGCTTTGGCACAAGAAAATAAACTTATACTTTAGAAATTACTTAAAATATTGCATTGTAGATGGTGCTACCTTATAACCTCAGAGGTAATATATTCATATAATTATATTTTAAGTGGGTATATGAGTAGATTAAATATTCTGAAGGTTAATTTTGCAACATGTATGAGAGGCTGCAATGCTTCTTCCCTTAAACCATTAAGTCCACATCTAGAAATTTCAACCAAATAAGTTATCATAGATGAGAACTGATAAATTTAAACATCTATTAAGTATTCTCAGCCCTGGCTGGCGTAGCTCAGTGGATTGAGCGCGGGCTGGGAGCCAAAGTGTCCCAGGTTCGATTCCCAGCCAGGGTACATGCTCGGGTTGCAGGCCACGGCCCCCAGCAACTGCACATCTCTCTCTCTCTCTCTCTCTCTCGCCCCCCCCTCTCTCCCCCCCTTCCCTCTCTAAAAGTAAATAAATAAAATCTTTTAAAAAAAAGTATTCTCATTATGCTTATATATAAGAAAGTTGATAATGTAAATGTGCAACCATGGTTTAAAAAATTATTGTGTCTCTGTATGACAATATATTATAAAGTAATTTTAAAATCATGTTTTTAAAGAATATTTAATGACCTAGATAAGTAATTTAAAATACAATAGGAAAGTGTGTCACAAGTGTTGTTGTATTCCTACCAAAAAAATTTAACCTAAATCTAATCATGAAGAAACATTCAGACAAATGCAAATGGAGGGATATTCTACAAAAACTGATCTTATAAAAAAAGTCAATGTCATGAAAGAAATAAAGGAATCATTCTGGATTTTAAAAGACTAAACAGACATGACAACAAATGCAAAAAACAACCATTGTTTGGACCCTGAGTAAAAAGAAAACAAAATTACCAGGACAACTGAGGACATCTAAATTTGGGCTATATGCCAGATAACAGCAGTGGAATAGTAGTAGTGTAGCAATGTTCAATTCCCCGGTGTGATCACCGCAATATTGTGGTTAAGATGCTGTTCTTGTTCTTAGGAGATATATGCTGAAGTGTTATGATGTTTGCAATTCTGACAAGCCTCAAATAGTTCAGAAAAAGCCCTGGCTGGGTGGCTCAGTTGGTTGGAGCATTGTCTGATACACTGAAAGGTTATGGGTTCAAGTCTCTATTAGGGCACATACCTAGACTGTGGTTTGATTCCCAGTCGGGGTGCACACTGGAAGCAATCGACTGATGTTTCTCTCGCATATTGTTGTTTCTGTCCCTCTCTCTCTCCCCTGCTCCCTTCCTCTCTCTCTAAAATCAATACACATATCCTCAGGTGAGGATTTTAAAACAGTTCAGAAAACAAAACACATGGACATAAGCAGATAAAGAAAAATGTAACAAAATGCTAAGAACTGATTAATATAAAGAGTATATGGTTATTCTTGCTACTACTCTTACAACTTTTCTGTTGGTCTGAAATTTTTAAAAACAAAAAGTTGGGGAAATGGGTAGCACAGGAATGCATATATGTAAATAGTGCTGATTTTATTTCAAAATCACATTTATGTGGGCTCTGGCCAGGGAGCTCAGCTGGTTAGGGCATCAACCCTATCTGCCATAGTTGTGGGCAGGTACGAGCCCTGGTCAGGGCACATACAAGAATCAACCAATGAATGCATAAATTCACAGAACAACAAACCAATGTTTCTCTCTCTCTGTCTCCCTTCCTTTTTCTAAAATCAATCAATCAATCAATCAATCAATAAAATTACATGCATGTGTGTATATGCAAAGTTAAGGAAGGGAAACCTGTTTATCTCTTAGTGGAATTATAGTTGATTTTTACTTTTTTAAGTTGATTTAGTTTTTACTTTTTGAAAAAGATTTTATTTATTTATTTATTTTCAGAGTGGAGAAGAGAGGGAGAGAAACAGTAATGTGTGGTTGCCTCTCATGCACCCCGCACTGAGAACCTGGCCCACAACCCAGGCAAGTGCCCTGACTGGGAACTGAACCTGGGGCTCTTTGGTTCGCAGATGGGCACTCAATCCACTGAGTCACACCAGCCGGGGGCTGATTTTTATTTTCTTCTTCAAAATACTTTACCCTATTTTCCAAAGTGTCTGCAAATAATATTTTGTTATAATAATAAAATCTATAATTAATTTTTAAGGAAAAAGGATAACTAGGTAACAACTGATTCAAGCCTGCCTGCCACCTTGTGATCAAGTTACAACCTCTGTCTGAGCCTCTGCAAAATGAAAAAAAAAATATTGCTTATCTCTGACGTTAGTATGTGTAATAATGTTTTAACATAATAGAAGCTCAATAACAGACCTAGATTTAAGAGCACAAACATTGCTTCCTTTTAGGTAAAAACAAAACAAAACAAAACAGACATACTCAACTATTTATAAAATTCACATCTTAATAGACAAAAGACAATAAAAGAAAGGAAACCATCCACCTAAAGTCAAAAATGATAAGCTGACTTTCCAGAAATAATGAACGCCATGTGTAGGATGTTCCTTTCTCCCACCTGCAAGGGCAACTTTTCATTTATTTGGCTACTTTCATTTATTCACTCAGCCTTTACTGAACAATCTCCTTGTGACACATTCCAGGAGTAGAAAGGCCCGTTCTTTTTCATCCGTCCAAGCCCGTCACAGCCTTCAGCTCCACAGCCAAAAGCTCTTCAGTGAAGTTTTTCCCAACTCACCCAGCCAAACGGAATACTTCCGTAATTCTAGCTAGAACTCAACAAATTCTGGGCACCTACAACCTCAACTACTGACTGGTCACAGTAGGTGGCAACAAAATGACGCTGGGACGGAAATGGTGCCGGTGGGCGAGTTGTATAAAATCACTCATTTCTCATAGAGTTGGGTTCGTGGTCAAGCCAACCCGGGAGCCTTTCCATCCTTGGAAAAGATTTGTTCTCATCATCTCTGCAACCAAACAAGATCCAAAGTTGGAGAGGTGAACATACCTACTGCTCACATCACTTACCTTGTGCCCTCCGGGGCCTGAGAACTTATTAACGACCTGGAAGTCTTTAGGACGGCTGATGCTTTTCTGCAAAAAATACCTAAACTGGCTGCAGCCATTTTTTCGCATAAGCAAACCACGTTTCCGCCGTGAATGGCATCACTTCCGGTGCCTCGCTCTGACCGGAAGGAGAGAACCGAAACAGCCTTTGCCCTTACTCAACATGGCCCCCTTACAACTTTGCCCTCGCTGGTAAATGGGCCATCTAGGCTCCCGTTACTCCCCCCACTTCTTCCTATTGCCCGTAGTAGCCATGGCGGCTATGAGCTTACTGCAGCGGGCTTCGGTCACTGCGGTGGCCGCTCTGTCTGGCCGCTGCCTTGGCACTCGACTTGGGTTCGGGGGCTTCCTCACGCGTGGCTTTCCGAAGACTATTGGTGGGTGCTGGCTTTGGGAGAAGGCGCTCTCAGGGGAAGCGGGGTGAGATAGAGGACTTCCCGGGTGACCTTGGTGGGATTCGGAGGGAGCCGGGAGAAATTGTGGGCTTGGGTTTGAGATGAGGGATGAAGGACGTTATGTGAGGAGACTGAGGGTTTTCCTGGAGTAATTGGGTCTATTGCGTTTAAATTGTTGGCATTTGTGAAGCACTCAGTCATTCAGCCATCCTAATTGGTGCTAATTTGCGGAGGAAGCTGAGATCGGAAAGGCACAGAACTGAGACCCATGTCTCTGGTATCAGGTTGTTTGTACTTTACCCTGAACCAGGTTCTAATCCCGCAGCGTGAGAAGTTATGTTTTTAAGGTGCCAACTGATGCTCAGTAGTTTGTAGGTAGGCGGACGGGCTCATGATGGGGCTTGCTGGAAATGATGGAAAGTAATTCAGCAAATTTCAGGAATTTGAACCTGTTACAAAACTACTTTGCTAACACTCCTTGATTTAAAAAAAAAAATGAAAAAACCCTAAGCCATTTCTGACGACAATTATCTTCCTCTTTAAATACTAGCTAGGTTAGTATTTCATCTTTCCTAGCTGGAGATAAAGTAAGGTAAAAATCCCGCCCCCCCCGGTTTTCCATTCTTGGCGTCCCTGGAAGGACGGTTACTGGTAATCTTCCCTTTGCACTGGGAGCAGGAGAGGATGTAATAGCAGTACTGGGTGTTACTGTGTTTCAGCCGAGTGCCTGCTTTCAAAGGTATTTTGCATGTGAACCCTTATCTATCACTGTGCAATGAAAGGTTTTAATCAATTATATTATTGTTTATTTCTGCCTCTACCAGAATGTGAGTTCCTGCACAGTAGAGAACCTTATCTTGTTTTGTTTCCTCTGGAGTTAGATTGCCTGGGTTCAAATCCTGCTCCACAGTTTAATAGCTGTGTAGCCTTGGGTCATCAAATCGTTGAAGGCACTTAATTGCTTGAAACCTGGTTTTTGGTTTTTTTTTTCATCTAAAAAAAGGTGTTTATTACAAGTGTGCTTACTCTGTTGACAGGGAAATACAAGAAAACAAATCTTTTTCCTATTGATCAGAATTTAGAACCCTGAAATATATCTCTGCGTAATTTTGTGTATTTCTAGAAGAAATTTCATTTTGAAATGATCGTGTTTCATAAGAACTGTAAAATAAAAGGAGGGATGATAATTTTAACCTACTTTATAAGGTAGTTGTGTAGTGACTAGCATTAGCCTTTCACAAGGCCCTGTGGCTACATCTTTCTTAAACATGTAGTACTGTCATGTTATCTTTATTTACCCTCAGTGAAACCTTCCTCAGACAACAAGCAAATTAAAGTATTTTCTCTATTTTGTATTAAAAGTCAAATGGCAAGAGATTCAGGAGATGAGCTTAAATTTTTCCCTCAGCTGCAGTGAACTTTAATGTTGAAGACTGATGTGCATATTTTTTTTTCTATTAAGTGTGCATATTTTGGTTTTAAAAAACAGAATAGTATTAAAGTTATTATGTAATCAAGTGGTGTGGAGTTAATTCAGACATGGAAGATGGGGCATTTTAACTGGATTCTGGGGTAGTTTTAACAGATATAAGATAAGCACATGTGTTTTCTGGTATGTCTGAATGTGGGTCTCTTGGGAAATGTAGCTGTTGAGAGATAATATAGCTAATAAAAGGAAGCTGGAAAATAGTCGAAGAGATGTGAATTAGAGCATAAGGAGTATAGTCAGTAACATACGAGCTATGTATGGGCCCAAGTGGGTGCTGGAAGCATCGGGGGACCACTCTGTAAAGTACATGATTTTCTGGCCACCATGCTCTATATCTGAAACTAATGGTATTGAACATAGACTATAATAGAAAAAATAAAGTAATTTTTAAAAGGGAAGTTGGGACTAAATTGGTGAGGGGAGGGAATTGAGTATAAAGCAGAAGTATCTAAACTATTTTGTAGTCAGCAGAGAGTATTTTAGCAAAAGAGCAACATCAGTAGTGCGTTTTAGGAAGATGCTTCTGAATATTCGATGGCTTCTACAAGCTGTTCGTTACTGAAGCCATTGCGGTAAAGAGAGCATATAAAGAAATGGAAGTCTGAGTCTTAAAATCAAGAGGCCTTGACAGCTCGTGAGTGAGGGGTGGGAGCAAGGAAGGTGAAGGAGATTTTTAATGTGGCTAATTGAGTTGGTGGTACCATTAACTGGGAATAGTCTGAGAGTGAGGAAAAGGAAATGACCTATTTTTGATTATTGTCTTAGAAACATGAAAAAATCCTGCAGTGTCTTATCTGATTTTCACAAAGACCACAGTTGTCAAAAACATGAACTTTCCTGAGCTTATTTGCATTAAAAAATTTTGTTATTGGAACCTAGTTGCACATAATTAATGAATATTTGAAAAATTCCCTACTTTGTAAAGTGGCAGAAGATGCCTGTTTTCATGGCAGGGGGTCTGGGTTGCACAGGTCCTGGCAGTCACCTGTGTGTAAGTAGTGCTCACCGTAATATTTTTTAATTGTAAGCACATGGCCCTAATACATGAAGAAGTCACAAAGGCTCAGAATATTTGGAAATAGTTTAGTGCTATGCAATATACTTTAGAACAGTTAATGGTAATGAGTTTTCTGGCACATTTAATGTCATGAATAATTGTTTCATAGGATAATTATATGTAAAACAAGCAGTTCACATTAATAACTGCATTAATATTGCTAAAATGCAGCTTGACTAGTCTTCCATAGTTTTTTGTTTGTTACGTTCTCCATGTCTATTTTTAGTGTCATTCCTAATCAGCTTTTTCTAAAACCACATCAAGTTTAATTTTTGTCTTTCTCTGTGTGTGGCAAACATGCACATATGTATCTGATTGAAAGGGAAAATTGGAAGTATACTTTCTCTTCTGAATAGATTTACTTTCAGGGACTAGGGGAAGATGTCCTTCCAACATTTAATTTACTTAGGAAATGTAAATTCAACAGTATTTACAGAGCGCCTACCATGTGGCAGACACTAAAGGGTACTGGAGATGCAATACTGAATAAGACAGTTCCTGACCGGATGGACTTTAATAATTACGCTCAGTGCTCATTGTTCTAAAAGAAATGCAGGTATACCTCAGAGATACTGTGGGTTCAATTCCAGACCACTGCTGTAAAGTGAGTATCTCAGTAAAGTAAGTCATAATCTCTTCACTCGAGAATCTGTGAGTACAAAAGCACAGTGAAATGAGGAATGCCTGTAACCAGGTGGTATTAAGGAGAGTAAGTGGCAGGCCAGCTTTGGATAATGTAGTCAGAGAAGACCCCTTTGAATAGATGGCATTTAACTTGGCCTTGAAAGATATATGGAGGCAGCCATTCAAAGATCCTGGGGGGAAACTTCTGGGCAAAGGGGAAAATAAGTCCAAAAAGAGTTCTTGGAATTAAAGGGAAGCCTTTGAGATTGCTGAGTTGGTATGGTATACCTTCTTATTGCAAGATAGGCCATGTATTCAGATTCTTTGAGGAAAAGGGTATTTGAAATACTCTAGGCCAATCCCCTATAGTATGCTAATCCTTCTTAACATCCCCTTATTGATATTTGAATCCAATCATGGTACTATCTAATATAGAGTTGGGGGGTTAGTCCAGTTTTATTTTCAGCTGCTGAAATTGTTAGAAACTTCTTCCTTGTATTAAGCTCTAAATAATAAACTCCTCTTTTACACATTGATCCTTTCCTTCAGTTCTTTCACACACAGTTCTTCCCTTCAGCTCAACACAGAATAGTGTATGCCCTTTGTCCTGGGACAGCTCTCCAGCCCCTTAACTACTCTCATCTGGTCTCTAACCAGACTTCTGTTTTGTAGACCAGTCAGTTCTTTCCTTTCAGTATGTCAGTTTCCTTGTGGTTTTCCATCCAGGTTGCATAAGTAGGGGCATACCCCAAATTGTCCCTCTAAAACTTTGCAGTCTGGGACAGACACACTAATGGAGATTCAGGGGTGGGGAGGGGCTCCTCCTGTTTTGACCTTGTACTTCTAATACATCAGATTAAGATCAGATTACCTGGCTTTTTTTTTTTTTTTTGGTAACCCCAGTATACCAATGGTTCTTTCTTTAAGTTTGTGAGCCACTAAACCTTTGGAGGGGGGATGTAGGCAGAACTTTCCACTTGTATTTAACCAGTTTAGATTCAGCCTTTTGTAAATGTGTATGAAAACTTTTGGGGGACCCCATTTTATCATCAGTGTAGTAGCTTCTCTTGTAGAAGTAACTGTCTCACCAGGAGTACCATCTTGTAGGCCATTCAAGAAACCTTGATGCCACAAGGCTATGGAGTCGACTCTTTTGCAGGTTACTACATTAAGTAATAGGTACTTGTTGGGTGTAATCACTCAATTATCCATTTTGAATTCATTGAACATGGTTCTTCTCTCAGCTTATAATGTGCTTTTCCTTACAACGCCCCCCAATCCCACTGCCAGCCCCCTATGCTCACACCCTCTATCTATTTTGTAGCAAGTTCTAATATTTATTGCCTCATATGGAATGGCATAATTTAAATGTATTTCCTTCTCAGCATTAGCAAATATTTATTGTAGAGGGTAAACAAAGCAGCCACCAAGAGTTTCTGATCTTCCTACCTGTTGTTGAAACAAATTCAAACGATTATCTAGATATTTCTTTAACATTGAATAAACATGAAGAAAGGTATAGTTTAGAACAGTGCATCAATTTCTG